CTAACCCTAACTAACCCTAACTAACTAACCCTAACTAACCCTAACTAACTAACCCTAACTAACCCTAACTAACTAACTAACCCTAACCCTAACCCTAACTAACTAACTAACCCTAACTAACTAACTAACTAACCCTAACCCTAACTAACCCTAACTAACCCTAACTAACCCTAACTAACCCTAACTAACCCTAACTAACCCTAACTAACTAACCCTAACTAACCCTAACCCTAACTAACCCTAACTAACCCTAACTAACTAACTAACCCTAACCCTAACCCTAACTAACTAACTAACCCTAACTAACTAACTAACTAACCCTAACCCTAACTAACTCTGTCGGCTGGTCCTCGTCCTCATCTTTGTCTTCGCCTTTATCGTTATCGTTGTTTTCGTCGTCGCCGTTATAATCTCTCCTCCTCTTCCTCTTCCTCTTCCTCCTTGTATAAGTGACCAATTAAAAGATATTATTTGATTATATTTGATTATTTTATTTACACCGTACCGGTGCACCTATTAGGAGCCCAACAGGGCCTAACGGCCCCTAGTGGCGCCGGTTTCTCCTTCGCGGTAGCACCTCGCCCTGTCCGCACGGCCCTTTCCCTGTTACGGAGCTCCCTGTCGTCTGTCTTATGTTAGCGCCGCCCGCCGGACAGCTATCCTTTAGGCGGTTCACTGGTTAAACTTCTTTCCTTTAATTAGACACAAATGCGCAACGACGAACACGAAGTGAATGATACTGTGGGAAAATTGTGTTGTTCCTTTTCATCTTTTCTCTTTGGCCACACAGAACCAAAGCGGGGGAAAAATATCAGTGGAGGATGCATCCTTCTCATCCCACCCTCGCCGTTGACACGTGGCAAGCGAGGGGTATTATCGCGGTGCTTTCTTGGAACAGCGATTCATTCAAGTCTTAAAGTAAAAGTCAGAAGCCGTTTGACGGTATTCTCTGGTTTGGACAAAAAAGGTCACAAGGGTTTACCATAAGATCTCTACGCACTCGTCACGCAAAATGTCTATCATCACCACGCCAGTGCTCCAGAGTCTCTGGATGGACGCACAGCGGGTCCCTCTAGAATGGACCACAACCCGATTTTGGGAGCACGTCTTCAACCGCATTGTCTTTAACCGGGACCCATGGGTGGTGTCGTCGCAGCAACCTCCGTCGCACGACGCGGGTGCTACTCGCCGAGTGGACTTGGTGGTGGAGCGAATCGATCCGGCGACAAACGCCCGCGGTACCGTCCTTTTCGTCGAAATGAAGCGCACATTGGCAACGCAGACTGAATTGACCCAGTGCGAACACCAGGCTTACACAGCCGGATGTGAATATTTCACAGAGACGGGCATGGCCCAGGTCTGGGCGATGACGTGCATCGGCAGCCAGGCACGACTATGGATCTTTGATGTTAATGAAGGCTTTTTGGTCCCCTATTTCCCGACGTCACACGGCAAAGCAGTGCGGGCAGAGTATGTTGAAGTCTCCGGGCCGGGAGGCATGCAACTTCTCAGCTGTCTCGAGTACATTAAAAGGCATCCAATCCCGCCTGAGAGTCTCGTTACTGAGGTGCTTGCTTCCTCGAGCGACGAGTCATCAAACGTCATGGAAGATAGCGATTACGAGCCTGCGTCGCCGGATATGCCTTCTACTGCCTCTGCTCCTACGATTCCTCTATCCTCCGCTTCTCACGAAGGTGACACTGCCATGGCGGATGATAGTGGCGGTTACGAAAACACACCGTACCCATACTACGACTCCACGGCGCAAGATCGGTACGGGACTGCGAATGAGGAGTCTGCAACTACGGATACCGCGGACACCAGAACAACAGCCGAATCGGAGACGCAGCCGTGGTGCAAGATCAACCTCCACAGAGTATCGCATCTTACCAGACGAGATGAATTTACCTTCACAACCGTCGATGGAAAAGTTAAGTCGACGGACAGGGATGAATGGGCAAAAGCCAATCATAAAGGGAAAACGGCTTGGTATCTTTGGCATAAAGGCAACTATTACTACTCGCGTGACCGACCCGGGTCGTGAAACTGTTGTTTTACCGCGAGCCTGTGCGTCTTTTATATACGCGTTTCCTTACCCTTACCTGCATTGCGGCACGCTTGCTCCCGTTGTTTTCATACTTGGTTGTCTGTATTTTTTAGGCCGTTCAAACATAGTTATTTTAGCTCATATGACATTGTGTACCAGCGGTTTGTCGTGTAGTAAAAGTGTAGAACACCTTGGCCGATATTGTGACACTTCCATCCATCTTCTTCGTGAGAGTGCCGTGTAGTATGAGCCACGTAAACAGCTACCCCATCGTGGTGCGCACATTTGTATGCGTGGTATCGTAGCGGCCGATAACAGATTGCGGCCGGACCTGTCACTACCCAGCTTTCGTCTACAAAGAGACGGCACTCTCCTAGGGCACGCACACCACCGTTTCTGTACCAAAGCAGCATGCCGCGACATATGCCTTTGGCCCTGTCGTGAAAGACTCGTACAGATTGAACGTCGCAGAGTGGAGCTGAAGAGATGTACGTGTCGCGAAAACGGGTAGACATTGTCGTCGGCATAGGGAAAGCAGGTGGTAGGATGGAGTGAGCATCGTCTTTTGACTGGGCCTCGCCAGAATATGCCCCGAAAATTTCCACAGGCTTGCTTTCAAATGGTTCTCCGTACACGAACGTCATCCGATCTCCATGGGCCAAGAGCATGATCTTAGAGCTCCGTCCACTTGCGCATCCTATCACCACATCACCGGCCAGTTTCATTCGAGCCTGGTATAACGAGACGTCGTTAGTTTTGATATTTCGTAGATATTTTTATATCCCGGAAATGCGCACCAAGACGTACTATAATATTAAAACTCTGCTCGCGTCGACATGCCCAGAGAGTAATGATACGGTCATTTGGAGAAATTGGTAAGAACGCCCACACCATGTTTTCCTTGACACGAGTTACAAGGCGTTCGTATGTTTCCATGGCAGAATCGTGTGCGGTCCGATGTATATGCACGCCGTAGATCTTACCAGTCAGGTAGAAGAACGTCAGGCCGAAGTAGCGGTTAGCGTCCACGGCGTAGAGCTGGCTGGGAATGTGACTACGGAGCCGCACGAGGCGCTGAAATGAAGCAGTGTTGACCAAGGTGCAAGAAGCGAGTTCCGGGGGGGAGGGTGAATTCCAAATGCGGAGTCCGCTGCACTGAGAAGGTAAACATAACCGTATGAGGCCATTCTTATCCGGTTGTTAGGGCTAGTTTCTTCGTGCAGATAAATAGAGAAGATCTTGAGAGAAAAATGGATTATATAAGAAAGAAACGAACCTTTTTCTCAACTTGTATATCTGCAAAAATTGAATTCTCTGAAATTTTCACATTTTCAACAATGAAGGCCAGTTGAGTGGTTGTTCGGCTCGTATGCGCAGGCATCTCGTGGAAGCGTTCGATTTGGTAGATGCCTTGACAATCGATGGTGATTCTGATAAAGAGTGGTAGCGTGGGTTGGGAGAGAGATGAGGACGAGTGGGACAAGGAAGTGGAGACGTCTGCTAGTTGCAAAGGATGCTGGCGCTCCCACGAGATGATTTGTGCCAGTGGGACGCGAAGTAGAGGCTCCGCCGGCTGCCGCATAACTTGAAGACGGAGGCATTGCACAGTGATGGAGCGCCAGAACAAACTGTGAACCGACAGCTTATAGATGAGGTGCACTAACTCAGGAGGCAACACTGTGAGCTGGGGTAGTCCAGCCACCGTGGCCATAAGGGCGAACATGGTAAGCTCAGCATTGCCGTAAGACGTAGGTCCCGCATCCTCCACGTGTATCCGGGCAGCACGTGGCCACGGCCGGCGCCAGGCGCCAATTGTCCAGAGCTGGTCCAGGATGTTTGTGCCTTGATTCTCGTCCTGTCTTCCCTCGTGACCTTGTTTTCTTCTTTGGCTTTGTTCGCTTTTAGTTTCTGAAAGATGTTGGCCCTGCGCTTGTGCCTTTCGCGCATTTTGTGCATTTTGGGCGCTGTCATCGACGCTGCGTGCGTCTAGTCTGTTCTCTTCAAATGCGGGCTCTGTTTGAAAGACGTGGAAGCAGTCGTAGTGCACAGCCACGACCATAGGCGCTCGACTACACTCTCGGCACCAACGAAGGGGGATGCGGCATGGCCAGAAGCCGCCAATTTCTGTCTGGACCATGCCATGCTGCGGAAAGGGGAACGGACGCGTGATCTGCCCGGAATACGCGGTCCCGTCATCATTACCGAGCACTGGTTGTGAGCAGTGGAATACAGGAAGAACATATCTAACGAGAGAAGGGATCTATACTCACTTGCGACAATCCTCTCGTGACGATGAATCGTACAGCCGCAGGCGCCGCACTGGGGGACGAGCGGAAGGTGTGTTTGCGTAGCATATTCGGACATTGAGTTTGAAATCACGGTTGATTATTGTTGAATACGACGTCCTGTTGAAACTAGGCGTGGTAAAGACTTGAATTTAGAAGAGGGCTCCAAAACGGAGCAAGGGAGAAGCCCCTAAATTAAATAAATGCACCTGATACAGTGCGTAAATACAGTACGAGTACTCTATACGTACAGTACGTCCCTTACACTACCTGTGGTTGATATCGCCCTCGCCACAAGTGTGTGTTATTATCCGCCTTTCTCAGTCAGTCCTAACTATTAACGACTAGATAGACAGAACCCTCTAAGGAATAAACTGTCACAGAACTATGTAGTATGTTGTTCTGACCTCCATCGCAATATACTCCGACAAACAGTGCTTTTGGGTGATAGCACTTGGCCTGTAGAAACGATTGTCTCTCACTGTCAGCCAAATTTTCCGACTTTTCCTGCCGCCTCGCAGTAAGTCACTCTCGCGATTGCTGTTGGTCAATATACCATTTTGTGAGTGCTCACCGACAGTCTTCTTATTTTCGAAAGCTATGCGGCCACCCATGCTTCCGGTAGATGTCCCTCACCTGGTCTCTCCTTGCGTCCATCCAGTACATTTAAGCTGGATAAATTTGCCTTTCCACTCTTCCAACATTTCTTCCACAGGAAATGTTTGGTATGCCCGCGAGTAGTCACGTCGTCTCGGTTTGGCGTATCTCTCCTGGGCCTTCCGTTATGATAAACTCCGTAGCTGTGCCCAGTTGAGTGTCCACATGCCGCCAACTGCCGTATCGTGATCTACTCATCGAAAACGGCTATATGTGGTGAAAGGACACCGGTACCGGCCGGCTCAAAGAGACCCTTCAGGCCAGGTCTGGCCATAGGAAGCGTTGTGGCACCAGGATTGTCCACGGTGCATGTCTCGGGCGCAATCATGGACTTGTCGCCGCAGGTGCCGGCACCCAAGACTTGATCTTGATATTGGTCCTCGCTGTTTTCGGTGTTGGCGTCAAGGTCAGACGCGAAGTTTGGCATCAAGTATGGACAATGGCGTCGGAGGTAGAGCACTGTGGCATCATTGGCGACAGCACCTAGTCCGTCAGCTCTAGCCGACCCCCCGGTGGTGCATCTTAATAATCGCCGGCGGTTCAGCGCGGGATACGAGTGGGACATACGTAAAAATCACGCAAGGCAGAGACAACTCTGCTGTCCTATGCTGGGACGCGCGCCGTGATGTTAGCTTTACTGGCGGCTACGTATACTACAAATTGGACACAATATACGGCTTAGATGTCGGTAAAAAAGGAGACTGGTTGAGCGGAAAACTGGTGGTTAAACCGCACCAACATATATTTGAGCATTACCCCTGTGGCGCAGCGGCTTGGTCCCTGCAACCCTGTAGCAGGCCAAGAATTAAACAACCCTTGTTAAACTTGAAAGAGTGGGATGTTCGCAACCCTAAAATTGATGAATCAAAACACAAAAGAGAGCATCCAGATAACGACCCTGTATTCTAATCAGATGCGGCCTTCCGCGCAGCGCGGGAACGCTTTAATTATAAACACCAACTCGGTTCCAACAAAGGCACACTTTATCCAAACGATCGGCAAATACACGGGCACCGTCCGGCCCGTGACCGACTATTAAACGCCAGTTGGAAAAGATAAATCCAATAAATGCAATCTACCGGCCAAATTATGAACTTTCAAAGTACCTGGCCGACCCTCTCCCCAATATGTAAACTGCGGTGACTGGCTAATGCGGCGGTGTAGCGTTTCATTGTTTGCCCGTATCATCAGCAATAAAAGGCAGTTGTGACAAGCAGCACCTCGGTACTTATATTAATTTTGTACCTATCTCGGCGCATACCGGATCACCTGAGCCGCACGAAGCCGCGATCATCAAAATTTATACGTCAACTTTATACGTCGACTCAGGCGAGGAACGAGCAATGACAACAGAGGGTTGTTTTCATCTATGCGTACTAAGATGACGTTAGTTTCATGGCTACAACAATTTAATGATCGTTGTTGGAACAACACTGCCGACACAGGAGGCCTGTTAGCTAGGAGGGTGTGGGTAGAGTAGCCTTGGCAGCCAGTGATTGTCTTCGCCTGGTTTACTTCGTATGTAACGTTTTAACTTAAGGTGAATTCCTGTTTGGATGCTGTGTGTACATATATCTGCGTCTGTGTGCATTCTTTTTAGAAACAAACAGTTCAACCAGTACCAGGATCATCAAAAGAATTGAGAATACAGCAACGATAAGTAGTGAAAGCCAAAAATCAACTGTCGCTCAGATTAAAACAGACGTTCTCCATTATATTACCAAACCTATTAGTCACTACCGTCGTCTTGGCTAGCTCCCCTATAGTATCTTCCGGTCCCGTCAAGGTCCGTTCTCCTACAGAGTACTACCAGGGCGAGACCGAGGCACGCCTTTGTTACACGACGCCGAACAACATCCCCCAGGACGTGTCCGTAAACGACGTCAAGTTCGCCGCTGCCTACCTTCGCTCCTATGGACGTCAATAGTATGTGCACCCTCGACACCTCAAACACGAAATTCTTTACATAAACAGTGAGTTTTATACTAACTCCCGTAGCAAAACTGGCCGCCTCTTTACAATGAATGTCGCCGACACACCCGCCTGTGGCGAGTGGGGCCTATACACTCACAACACGGTGCAAATCACGGCCAAGCACATTGACATGACGCACAACTCGACCGTGCTCTACGAAGACATTGACAACACGCTCGATGGAGGCGTTGATGCGACGGCCGACCAGGCGGCAGCAGCGCTCTTCGGCTGCGGCACGGATGGCGGATCCCGGGGCGTCGTCGTAAACACGACGACGCCCGACGTACAACTCGACGGCGTATACTAAACTGGACGCCGTCTTGAGCGGTATTATCGTCAAGGTGGTCGCGGCGACCAATTAAGCCATATGTGATGTACACGCGATATGGTAACCGCACTTGACAGCTTCAAAATATCGCCGGATAGCATAAAATTTACTGTCCCATATTGAGTGTTGTTTTTAAGAATATCATCACGTTTGATATCATTTTAAATTCACTGGTCGCCATGCTACTACATTTATATATTGCAACAATCCACAACACATTCTTATTGTCCAAAATAGATGTCTACTCCTTAGGAGCCTTACAGGCCACTTCGAACTTAACGGCGCCTTACTCAGTGATTACAATTAAACACAAGCCAGAATCCAATTATATTCTAAGAAGGTTTCATTTTTTACATCTCGTCGACCCATATAAAATGTTACCAAATTTCGATGCTAATCACAAATATCCATTAATATTACGGTACCTTTTAACATTAAGATCCCAATACCACATTTTTAACCCGTACTATTACACACAGGCTCCCTTTACGAGAGCCTAACATTACGCTGCAGGTATCTTAATCAAGGTAGTCTCCACGGGAAATTAGGTGAAATAACATACGTTAAAGATTAAACGAACAGTCTGTTACTCAAATTGCAGCCCAAGGACGTTTGTGTCATTTATAGACTGTTGGGGGACAGTAGCCAAATGGAAAACTAATCCAAGTCTTCAATGCCCTCTGCAAGACCTGTCTCTAAATCAACCCATCCGTCTTGACCGAAAAAGCTTTTGAGCAGAGATTCTGCGCGCTCCCTTCCAGTAACCACCGTGTAGTCGCGGCCCTCGTTCTTCGGCGGGTCCTGGAAAGTCTTGTTCGGTCGCAGTGTGCGGAGAATCCGGATAACATCTGTCCAGTTAAACTCGTATGCAAAGGCAAAGATGCGCTCGTTTTTAATGGCCGAGTCAAGCAAGGCCACCGTGTGAAGCCGTGCGCAGTCTCGGACATGGACATAATATTCTACATGTCGATGTTAGCAGGAGAGTGGAGAGGTTAGAATTAGATGGGGGAGGCACTGACGTGGAGGCATAGTGTCGAACGCGAAGTAGTTGTCCTTCCAAAAACTACGCACAAAGCCCATCGTCGAACCGTGCTGGTATTTCGGTACCAAGATTTCTCCCACCTAAGATTAACATCAGTCATAAATGAGTCGTCAGGAGTGAATCGAAGGCGGCCGACTCACATTGTAATTGGGAAGAACAGTGTTCAAAACAAAGCCTGGGTTGGTGTCTTTGTTCCATTCCCAGGCTGCACGCTCACCCTCTGTCTTCGCCGCGGCGTAGACAGCGTATCCTTTGGATACTTCAGGGGTCTCGTTACTCCACGCTGCTGCCACTGCTTCATCGTTGTACGTGCCTTTACCTGGTTAGGAAAGTAATCTCCGATGTAAACATGTGATGTGGGTTGACCAACTCTGATCAATGACGGCTCCCTTGACATTCGCCTTCGGTATGATTGCAGCAGACGATGAGGAGGTCAGAACAAAACGTTGAATTTGCGGGTTCTTGGCAGCAGCATTCAGAATATTCCTGGTTGCTTGCTGCGTCTGGGGGATAACCACGGAAGGATCCGTGTTCATGCTGACGTCGCCAGCCTTTCACGTTTGTTAGCATATGACTTTCGAAAATTTGATTTTGTATTTGGAGGCACTTACGACGTGCACAACTCCATCAATTCCACGCATGGCCAATTCCCAATCGCTCTCATCCTGCATGTCACGAAGCACGAAAGACTCAAACGCGCCTTTGCCATACTTGGTTTCGAAGAGCTCGTTCAACCAGGGCTTATCCTCTCGAGCAGTACCCCGAACGCGATATTTCAGACCAAGGAGGACATCTGCGACGTGCGATCCGATGTAACCATTGGCTCCCGTAACGAGAATCAGAGACCCGACCGGCAGTGCGTATTGTGGCGTCGCCATAGCGATATTAAAAAAACCGACAGCGTCGTTCGTGGGTAAGTCAGCAGGACGACATGGGTATCATTGTCGTCTTCTTTCACCTGTCCACGACCAGCAATTTATACACCACAAAGTCATTTGATAAAGTGCGTCAACCACCCTCTCGCCCTTTGTCAGCACGGGACATAACTGGACAGAAGCTACACTCCGGTCTATTTGTCAGCACCACTAAGGCGGGAAAGACAATTCCGTATTTGTCAAAATACGTAATGGAGCACATCCACAATTGTGATTGCTAATGAAACGGAAAGTCGTTTCCTGTGTGTATTCTTGTCCTTGGATTGAATCACTTACAATTAAACGACCGTGTGCTGTCTGTCTCGAATTTGACGAAATGCGATTGGTGATTCGCCAGTCTTATCTTGGCTGATGAAACAAGGCATGCTCATTAATCCGTATTCTCTGTACGGTACCTGTTTCCTTCACTGTTTCGTATTTATTTATTTAGTTCCTTTTTAAAAATAGCACCACGTCGTCACGGAAGAAGCCCCCCAATCAATCCACCTATTCCATCTCCGATTCCTCCGATGATCCCACCTATCCCACCCACAATACCACCGACGGCATCACCAACATCGCCAACAACACCCAGCACGCCTTGAACCAAAGTCAAGGCTTTGCCGTTCTCTAAAGCCGCCCCTGCATCCTTCTTAGGGGTGTCTTTGCCTTGCAGCCACTGTTGTAATGCTTCTTGGTCTGGTGGTTTGAAATTAGTTGTCGGCATCGGTAGCACTTTTGTGCACTCTGTCAGGTCATTTATGTTGTTTACGCCGAGCATGCTCATTCGAATATACTCTCGGGCAAAGTCCTAATAGCATTCAGTTGGCGAGGTTAGCTTGATAACTATACGAAGATAGTTTACAACAACGAAGTACGTACGTTGTTCCAGGCTGCTTGCCCCGCCGCCGTCGAGAATGTGTTCCAAGTAGCAGCCGTGGATTGATGCTTCGACAACGCAATGTCACTAGGGAACCTAAAGACCCGAGATGGCACTGTGGCACTCTTTGTCTCTCCGTAGAAGAGGATGTCCCAGACTCCCGGGGAACTGTCTTGTGGCGCACCGTCACGGGTCTCGTCGACAAAGTGCTGCTGGGAAGTTGTATGGGCACCCACGAGAGCAACAAGGGCTTCTGGTGTGATGGTCTTGTTTTGGAACAGTGCGACAAGATTGACTGCAGATGCATGGACATCTGGCATACGTCCCTTGTTGGTGGCTTGGCTGCTATCTTTGCGCCCGATATACGAGCGAATGCGCGGCCCAAGAGGGCAAGTGACGGTGGCAATGGTGGCTCCCATCTGGATTAGGTCCGCCATGCCAACGCCGTACCTGGAGTGGTACGTGTCGTACCAGCCCTGAACAATAATACCGATATCCTGCAGCCCGTCGTTTTCGGCCCGGGTTAGTTCGTTGGCTAAGACGATGCTGCCATCCGCACCGCCAAATGTGTCTCCCTTTTCCCAGCTTGCGGCGTCGTGGAATCCTAGACGGACAGCCGCCCGCGCATGCTTCGTGCAACGGCCCGAGTCTCCATGGAACTTGGCGTACATGTCGCGCTTAATGTACTCCCAGATGCAGCAGGGGTCGCTGGCACACTGTTGGCTGTCCTTGGCAGGGACGTTTGTGTAGGTGGACGTGATGTCTTCGGGCGAGTCCTTGCCCTGCAATATATTCTTCACGGAGCGCCCGACATCTGATAGCTCGTGGTCTGCGAGCGACGTGAGATCCCCAATCATCTCGACTTGATTGGTGTTGTCATCTCCTCGAACGTTCAGAATATCCTTCAGTCTCCCTTGTCCCATACCTGGATAGGCGTTGCAACCGTAGATCGTGATCCATATTGTAACTAAAAGTGCGAGCTTCATTTTGAACGAGACGTGGAGGAGCGAGAGACTAACCAATGGATCGAAGTGCGATGATAGTTCACAATGGTACGTTTGGCTACTGGTACGTCAAGTTGTAATGCCAAAACAATTGACCAGAGTAGAGAATATATAGCGATACGACAAGAACAGCCGGTCAATGAACTTCGCTTTTGTTCCTACCCCAAACGTAAAGGTCAAGTAACTCCACGCAAATTCGCATCAATATCCGTTCCACGGGAACGGTCCAGGGACCTGCCAAGTTCATTTACTACTGTCTGTTGTCAAATATGAGAAGGTCTATTATATTAAATTTCCCGTATTCCCCCAAGATTTTGTCGACAAACAATGCCGATCATGTAATTCAGCCGCTAAAAATATGACCCTGATGCTGTGGGTGTTATTTATAAGTTGGTAACTCGTCCGAGCGGCAGAATGAAACTTGGCAGTGTTTCTATGCCCGGGAAACTGACATCAGATGGGACCCTTCTTTTGATGCCCCAGTGTACCCAGAGGAATGAAGAGGTTTGCCTCGATGCGGGCGCGGCAACGTATGTGGAAGTAAATCTTGGATGCAGCCGTATTTGAACATCCCGGTTAAAGAAGTGGCTAAAATCGCAACGTTGTTCTTTTTGAGGGAATGGTACAGTATGCAAGTCACGTTTATTTTCACCGCACGGTTTGTCTTTACGGGGGAGAATTGGCATGGAAATTGTGAACATTAGGGGCATACCATTGGGGGGAGCAAATTGTTTTCTTTTTTTTGATAAAGTCCAAGTGTGCATAAATTTTCAAGCATGCGGTTTCGGTAACACGTTTGGAACGTTCAAGACGCCAGGTAAGGACATTGCTGCTTAAGATCTCCGGTCTTTTTGATGGGCGCGTTTGGAAGTTGTCGAACGTCGGGAATAACAGTGCTTTTGGAGATGTGGTAAGTGCGGAGTGGGGAAGAATGTATCACAATCACGAGTGGAGCATGCCGAGGCAATCCGGATTACTAAACCGCTTTGCCAGGTCAGGCCAAGGGTCACTGAAAGTTTATTGAAATGGACGTCTTTTTCTCTTCTTAATACATACACCAACTAGAACAGACAAAGGACACGCCGACTAGACGATGACCCTCACCGATATTCCCATAAAAATACACAAGGTAGCATCCCACACAGACGGAAAATGGAATTGAACTTGCAAAAGAAGCCCGTCATCGCTATTGCCGGTGCTGGTCCCGGCATCGGTGAAGCTATTGCCCGTCGCTTTATACAGGAGGGATTCGCAGCCGCTTTGATTGCCCGCACGGAAGACAAACTGAAGAACATGGCGCGACAAATCGAAACAGACCACGGAACGGGAAGCGCACGATACTACGTTGCGGATCTCAGTGAAGAGGACTCTGTCATTGCCAGCTTTCGAAAAGTCCGCGTGGAGCTGGGGCCCGTTGACGTCCTTGTTTACAACGCCGGAGCGCGGCGGGTGAACGGCAGATCTATTCTCGACACATCATCTGCGGAGTTTGACAACTTCGTCAAGATCAATCTATTCGGCGCCTTTTGGTCGGTCAAGTGTGTTCTGCCCGACATGCTGAAAGTGGGGAAGGGCACGATTATATGTACAGGCGCGACGGGGTCGCTCCGTGGCATGCCTGGCCTGAGCAGCTTCTCACCGGGTAAATTTGGGTTGCGATCGCTGTGTCAGATCATCACCCGGGAATACCAATCCAACGGAATTCATGCGGCACATATCATCGTGGATGGTCCTGTCGACGGCAAGCTTATTGGTGGTGTGATGAGACGGGCTTGGCAACGTGAGGGTACTACGGACAAGCTAGAAGATGTCTCGTCTTATCTTGTGTTGCCCGAAGACTTGGCACATACCTATTGGTTTCTCCACACGCAACCGAAAAGCACATGGACGCACGAATTGGATACCAGGGCGCAGAAGGAGAGCATGTTTTCAAAATTGTGAATTGTCAGACTGCATTTTGTGGCCAGTTTGCCAACTGGTCACTGTCACCATGACTGGATAGACGAATTAAATCTGATACAATGTATTCGTTCACACGAACAGGCAAAACCCGGGCTCGTTCTGCAATGAGTCGTAGTTGAGCAGCGTAGTGTTCTCTAGAGGGGGGGGCACAACCCATGGAACGCAATCCATCCAGTGGTTATTCTACATTCAGTATGTAAGACGTTAATCCTCTCGTTGCTAGTTCTTTCAAGATCGTCTCTTCCATGATTGTGCTTCTCTGACGAGCCCACCAAGCCGACTGGCTCGTCAATAGAATGCGGGCGGCGCGATAGAAATGACCGAGCAAAATCAAAGCTCTGGAGTCATCTTGGCTGACAAGGCTGCGAAGAAGGGCACCGGAGAGTACAGGAAATAAGAAGCAGCAACGCTCAACATCAGGTTGGAGCTCTGCCAGGCCATCGCTTCCTGCTGACAGGAACCGTGTGGCGTAGTCTGCTCTGGGTATCCATGAACCACTAGTCATAGATGCAAGACAGAACAAAAGAGAGAGCCTCGAGGCAATACGACGAAAGTGTATCCGGCGCACGTCCTCTGTTTCGCTTGAGCTGCTGGTTGCGTTCGACCTGCCCTGTGTTGGTGGTAACGGTTTCGGCCCAACAGCTGGGCAGGTTGGTGGCATTGGGAACGTGTAGTGTTGGGGCCCATCAGTCACCTCGTTCTTTCGGTGCCGATGATCATCCCAGATGGTCATGAAATGACTGACGAACCTGTCAGGATCTTGACCTTGTTGTAGAACAGCCTCTTCGAGCACGTGTCGCGAGCTGTAGGTTGTCGCCGCAAAGAAATCGCTTCCGGTGGACCATAAAATGGGATATGTTTCACAAACGATACCGAATACTCCAGAGCTCAACTGAAGTAGGGGATCTTGCAAAAGACGGCAGCTCAGAGGACTTGGATAATATGGCTCATCGTCCCTGTCGGCGCGGTGGTGTTGTTCAGATATCTCTCCTTGGCACATGTCCTTGCGGCTGATCTTCATCCCCTCCAGATAGGCCACACTGCTCCATGAAATGTACTGCATAAGCATGGACGTGGCAATCAGGGCCTCGCTGTTATCCATCGTAACGGGGGACGAGAGCTGTTCACTAAAGAGTGAGGCAGATCGCCCCAGCAGACAACGAGCGACCTGGCTATATCGAGTGGCCTCTGGGACCTCAATCGCTAGGTGTGTAGCCGCCAGGCAGAGAATTGTGTTCATAATATATGGCTCCTTTTTGTTCCTATTGTTTAGCATTATGTTCACTATCTAGCTGCCCTCTGATATGATTTTGTCATACTTGAAAAGACCAAGGTAGCACTTGATGCCAAATACCTGGAAACGTCAGAGTACCGGTGATGACCTTGTGGAAGTGGTAAAACAGCTCCATGTGCAGAAGGTTCACCTGAGTATTGTCTCCGGTGGCCGAGAACATACAAGAATCAGAAGGTTGCTGGAGTCGTGATCGAGCGGCGTCAGCGTCCCATGATGCTGCTTCTTTATTTGCTGTCACGCGCATACATTTTTCCTTGCGTTTGAGACAGTTTGAACACGGCTCTCGCTCATCGCACTGACGTGTCCAAGTTAGTTATAGGAAAATAAAACGACATTTCGGGATGCTCCCCTACCTTCACTCGTCGTCGTTTGCAGGCAACGCACCCATGCCGGCTCTTGTAGTGTGGCCTCTTCTTTCCTCTTGACCGTGGCGACAGGGCGGTTTCCTTTGGAGCCACCCCGTTCGTAATAAAGAGAAAACTGCCGACGTGTCTTTGGGAGGTAGACATCGCTTATTCCGTTTCGCTGGTTACCGATTTGCTTGTCATCCGCATATGACCACACGCCGTATCTAGTTTTTCCAGGAACGAGATGAACGAGGTGGGTGCGATGACGAGAAATCACGTTTTATCGGTCACGCGGTGTGCAGACTCCTCTCCACTTTTCTGTGGACCTTCGTTCCCGTTTCGGAAGTAAACGAGACTCCTTTCTGAACATGACGTCACCGCAAGTGTCTGCAATTTCGACGGCGAATGAAAAGTGTAAGCTATCATTTGATTTCTAATTGTGCCCTCATCCAGTCGTCACTGCAATACCCGGTGTCCATCTACTTCCACGCCAGCATCTCACACTGCAGCGACGCAAGCCAAGCATCTTCGGTGTCAGCCCATGCTTGCACAGCATCTAAAGTCTCTCGCGTCTCCTCTTCGCTGATTCCAGCCTCTCGCCAGTTTTTGTAAAATGGATCCCCGGGAGTCAACTGGCCTTTCGCCCGCCATGCGAGCCAGGTCCGGGTCTCCTTACCGGTCGAGACTGAGCTTCCGGCTCCAATTTTCACTTTATCGCCATCGTCTGTGTCGAAGCCAGCGCTGCGGTAGAATTCAGGCATCCTTGCCCCGTTGGTATCCACGGACCCTGACGAGCCGTGCCGCAGCATTTTGTTCAAGTTCTCTCCCCACAGGCGGTTGAGCTGATGCCGACTTGGATGAAAATGACTGAATGCGGCATCTCGCGAAGCCAAAAGCCCTCCGGGCTTGAGAACACGGCGCATCTCTTCCAGTGCCTGTCGTGGGCCGTCAGGAAGCGGCATATGTCCCAGTACCTGTGAAGAATAGACGATGTCAAAGGTGTTGTCTGGGTACGGCAATCCATTTAGGACATTTCCGTTCTCGAATGTGATTGATCCAGGCCCTTTGGTGGTTGAGATGTGCCCAGCAGTTGCCAGTTCCAGTGCCCTTTCCAAGACTTTCTCTGACAGATCGAGACCGACAATTCTGCCTTCCGTGGCATATTTTGCAAATCCTGTGGTGATCGTGCCAGGTCCACAACCCACATCCAGAATGTGGTCGGTCTTTTTGATGTAGGGCAGTAAAAAAGCGGCGTCCACTTCAGCAGTCCGCCTTTCATGATTTGCCGTTGTGTAGCTTGAGTGGCCTTGTTTGTAGCTGTTGTTCGAGTCTCGCTGTGCCATAATGGAAGGCGGCTTGTTCTTGTGCATGGATGAGGGCTGCGTAAAATTATGATTAATACAGGTTGCAAAAGATGGCTTGAAATTTTATAATTTCCTTTGGCGTTCAACTAGAATTCGTGCGTGCAACTGGGAAGTTATTTATGTTCGACTCCAGAATTGACGTCGTTCCCGCTCTACCGCTTTACCAAACTGAGAAATATCCGAGAAGAACGAATCTTCACTGCAAATAACCTGACTTGGCAACCGTCGAAAGAACAGGGTTGTATTAGATACTGAATTGGGAAATGACCGAGATAAACGAAGCTACATAAAAATATTCGCTCGAACGAGAAATAACATGCAACATGCAAACACATCCTTGTGAAATTCAGGACAATTACGTGCATTTACTTTATTTCCACCAGTCTCAGACAAGTCCATTCTCGCGGCAGGGCCCCAAAATTTTGTACCAGTATCAAAAACCAAATGTCGACACTAGCATAGGCCTGGCCTATGTCCAATCATTGAATGACCGTTCCCCCCTTGCCGCGCCTTGGTGGGGGGGGACGGGGTGCAAACAGTTCAACGAATTCGCCATTTCTGTACTTCTTTCAATATCAATTTTAAGAAACTTTTGGCCAGTCCTCAAGATTTGTCGTGATCAGTTAACCTGTCTTACTTTGAGTGGTGAGACAATCTTGCCGATACCTCTAAAATGGTTATTTCCGCGTCCTTGTTGATTCGTCGTTGTCTTCTGTCTTGATCAGTTATTCTTCAATATTATCAAGCTGTTTAGCAAACTTATTGGCGATGCCGAGTTTGAATTCAGCACCGTCTCAATACGACCTTGGAAATCAAGTGTTTGTCTATCGTGTTGACAAGAGTTGTCTAAGCAATCTCCATCAGTAATGGTAACTTAGTTTTGATAGTAAATAGACTTTATGTTTGTTTCTTGTTTCGCTTCTGAACCTTCGTTCCTAATTGAGACGTGTCGATATTGTTGCTCTGAAAAGTCAAGGGGAATAGACTTGCGAGAAGTGGAAGAGGTGGGTAAATAGAATCGGTTGAGGAAATTCCAATTTACTCTGTATCGACTAATTTCAGCCAGAAAATTTCAGGGTGGACCGGTGTACTGATATACTACCGGAGAAGGTACGACGGTATGATGGTATGATGCAGAATGCTTTTTAAAGTTTACGTTCTAAGAAGACACAATATCAGCTCTGCTTAATATTTTTGCGGCATACAGACCTCCGTTTCATTAAATAATCGCCACCGAAGATTGTCATGAGGACATCGTACAGACCACGCATTGGCCAAATAGCCCAAAACATGACTGGGAGCCAAGCAACAGTACCCATCGCAGCGTTTTGTTGGTTGTCCACCATGACCTTGTCGTAAACACTTGGCAAGCAGCTTGCACCGTACTTGACGCGGACAAGGTCATAAGAGTGACGGTCGTAGTGGCTCCAGAATTCGTCCTTTGTGTAGCAGGCATGAGCATACAGCCACGTCCTGCCGCTCAGTTCTCGTACCTTTTGCTCCAACAGACGGTTCTTGTGGATACATGCGTCACGGTCAATTAGTCCCGCTACCCAAATGCCAAAGTTCATCAAACGACCCTCAGGGGTGTTCTTGTCGAGGCGGGCGAAGTCAGAATGCAGACCGTGTTCTGCGTTGGGAGAGTCTCGGGCCAGACGCAACAGCCACAGCCACAGTGGGTAGATGCCAAAGGTCGTTTCGAGCCAGTCAACGAATGCATCCATCTTGTCATAAGGCACGCCGACGTCTTGCACCATGTAAAAGTCGGCCAGGCCACTGTGGTGTAAAGCCTTGTAGATGGTACGTGTGTACATGAGCGGATTGAGGATGAAGCGAGTAATGCGGTTGAAAGGTATGAGGAAGTAGTTGAACGAGTACTTTGCGACCCAGAAGCCACCGCGGTCGTAGCGGAAAAGGTAGTCGACAATGGGGACATACTCAGTGAAGGAGGCGTCGGGAGTAACAGTAATTTTTTCTAACATGTGACGAATGCGAACATAGAACCACGGATCCAGACTCCTTGTGAACCGGGGAGTAGAACTACTAGGTGGCGCGTTATCTACAAATTGGCCGGAGCAGACGATTGTGGCCGTCTTAAAGAATATAATACTATCTACATAGTCTACATTAACTCGAGCTGTTGTCGCGTTTTAACAGAACAAGTCTGTGTTCTCATCAGCGATTCGAGAAGCGCGTATAACTTCACCGTTGGCCAGGGCAATCTCATCCAGTTCACCGTGGTATCAAATGGCCCGTAGCGATAGGATGAGCTCTCGCCCGACGTGTCCGAAAAAACACCGTTGACGGTGATGCCCGGAAACTCCATCACGATGAGAGAGACCAGTCTTACCGCCTTTTCAGTGTCAGTGGGTCAGCTTCTCGTTTGGGTCGACGACTTGTTCAAGCTGGGTGCAGCGCGGTCCACCGCAGCGCGGTCCACCCGCAAGACGAAATTGTACGCGATGTTTCGTTCGAACTGCAACTCGTGCCATTCGTCTGCTTCCAGGTTCGGAGCGAGACAGCGGCAAGCAAAATAATCCGACAAAAGTGATGCAACCGGAAATGTATCGTTCACTAACTCGACGTAGGTCAAACGAATTCGTCCCGTGGACTGTATCCTTCTTGACCTCGCTCGCAACGAGGAAAACGAAGTCATTGAAAGAAATTCCAAGGCTTGCCCAGTTGTTAGCCTTTCTTTCTAGCGCTATCCCAAAGCGTCCGACAAGCTGGCTGCAGTTGAGCGGTAGCACGGAAGTGGGATGATGGTTTTTTTTTGTCGAATTATTGGGTTCATTCCAACATTTTAATCGCATTCTCAATATAAACCGCTGCCGATGTTTTCTCCCGTATACACTTTCATTGCGTTCGCTGCACCGTGGCTCATACATAAAGTAATCGAATATAGCCGGCACGGACGTCCCGTTGGGGACCGAATACACCATGTCCACAAATACGCCAGTGAAACTCCCCGGCCTCTCATCTATGTTAACGACCACAAAATAAAAGATCCGCACCCGCCCTCCGAGTACGGTCAGTGTCAGACAGCTCTTTCCTTCGTAGGGTATGAGAACCTGCCCCTGTAAGTATACACGTCTAAATGAGTTTTGGAACAACGCCTCGTAGTTCATTATCAACAGTTCCATCTGCCAATACGCGTCCACTGTCACCGTCGGGTAATAGAAATTCAACGGCCCGTAATATGCTATGAGTCCTGCATACTGGCGCTCGTCCTTCGAGTGGAACGAGAAACCGTCTCAGCACAGTTGCAGAAGTGCACTTGCCGCTGAGCAACGACTGACTGTTTCACGCCATGACACAATCGACTCTCGACCTGTCAATTCAAGACCTATGTCGCTCAGGTAGAAGAGATACGTACTATCTCTGGCATGCGCAGCTACTGGAACAGAAACTTGTCCCAGCTCTGGGCCTCGCTGCCGCCACTTTTTTGGCTTCCATACTCTCCTCGTCGCCTTGGATACTACGGTCCTTCGTTTGTCGAGAGCTTGACCTATCGTAAGACCGACCAACTCAACTGGTCCGGCATCATCAACTGCATAAATGTAGCTGGCGGCAAAACAACAATTTTCACAACGGATCGGTTTGGATGAGAAGCTACTCATTGCCGGTACCCTGGTCATAACCGGCCATAATCCTGGCGGGCATTGCCGGTGCATACTCATCACACTGGACCGACCATCACGATGCTGCAAAGGTGAGTGAAATGATATGAGCATTGCAAGGCGGTACGGGCTCAGATACTGACTTTGTACTGGCTGGCGTTGCCATTTTGGTTATTTTCATGTTCTTCCAAGGAGCCACATTCGGACCGTAGGTTTTACCACTCACGATAACGCACGTAAATTTTCTTCCAGCCTCCACTGACTACGCACCAAAACACCAGTTGTCGTTTTTAACGAAATTTTCCCGTACCGCTACCGTACGCGTGGAGTTGCCTTTGGTATTGCCAATGAATAGGTAGGTTTTATGAGTACACCCTCCCTTCTTTTAAAGATACAAATTTAATTATTTGTTTAACTCGCCAAATTTACTGATAGACTCATTTCCCCGCCGTTACTGGCTAAGTCTACCTAGTATACCTTGTTGTTTTTTGGTGGCATAAATTTTTTGTCCCATTTCTTTGTGATCTTCATTGTGCCCGACGCAAAAGGCGTCCTCCTCGAGACGATAGACGCCATTTTCGATGATCGTGTGGCCGACGAGCTTGCCAAGATGCGCGCTGCCGTGACGGGAAAGTTGCGTGCTGCTCCGGCAGGCGTCTACGTCGATTGAGATGATGGGCTTGGAGATTCGCATTTAATTATATTTAGAAATGTGTGTCGTTGTGTCATTGTGACGTTATTCTGTTTCAATCCATACATTTCGGCAGAAAATGGAGCCATTATATTAAAATGACGTTGTATTTATTTTTGAGCGTTAATGGAATCGACGAAAAGTCTTTTCAGCTTTATACTTTTAGTTCATGAACTTTTTTTATTGTCGCAATATTTCTGAGCAGAAATCCATTTTTTAAACTTGCCTTTCCACGCAAATTTACATTGTCTGTACCGGCTTCATATGTTAAATTTTTATAACATCGAAGCATTCAAAGGATCATTAACAGAATTATCTTATCTCGTGCAAACCAAAAACGTACCGGGACTTGTTACCGCTGAGAAAGCATAATCTGGGTGCAACACCTCTAAATAAGCTTTGCGACGCTACTTTATTTTCCACGTCGGAATTAGTTTTGCCAGACTCAATTTTGTAGCGTGTCAACCGTCAAGGAACGACGCCCCACTGAGTCAGTTATGGAGCACCCGACTCACCTACAGCCAATTGGAATCGAAACTGTCAACCTGTGCGGCCATACCCTTGTTGGTGCCGACAGCTGGACGCCGGAGTGCGGAGTCAAGAGGCTAAGCGACGCGGTACCCCAGGTTCTCCCGTGTTTTCCGTGGGCGTTGTGCAACTTGCTGTTCTTGTTGCGGCGTACTGGTTGCCGTATCCGAGCATGCCTTTGCGGGGGAAGTGAGGAGACAGGTACGAGTGTGCCTGCACCGGATATCGGAAACCGGGCTGCTTACGATTAACCATTGACATTGGCAGTTTGGTCGAGAATGCCTCCTGTGACTCGCAATATAATGATAGCACCGGGTATCTGTGCACCGTTCCCCGTTCCCCGTTCCCCGTTCCCCATTCCCCTATCTCCTGGTATTCGTCCTGTGATAAAAAGGGGACGCTGCCGATCGTCGCGTTCTCTGATGGTCCTCTAATCCTTTCTTCGAGCTGCAAATCGCATGATTACAAACAATTCAATCCAAACGAGCAGCCATGCAAGAAGTAACGGCTTCTGGTTCGGAGAAGGTGCCGTCAGAGACTCCATCTCATCGAGAGGATGCTGTTGTTACCGGCGTGGAAGACGATTCGGTCGTAGACTCGGAAAATGATGCTGGCCATATGACGGCACAGAGTTACATTAGCATCGCAATAAGGTTATTGACTTACTCCTTTCCTGTTTCGCAACCACTGGCTGACTTCACAGGCTCTCCTTTTCATGTACAATGCCTACCTCTACACGCAACTCATGCCCCCTGCTGTGCTTGCGTACATCAACGCAGACCTTGGCCCGGGTGCCAACTACATCTGGATCACCATCAGCTGGAACTTGGCTGCGGCGGTGGTGGTGACAATCAGCGGCCGCTTGGCCGATATCTTTGGTCGTCGCTGGTTTATGATCAGCGGAGCTTTCATCTCGACAGTTGGTGCCATTGTCGGTGCCACATCCCATACCATCAACGGCATGATTGCTAGCGGTTTTCTTTTTGGGCTGGGTGGTGGCGTCCAGGAGATGGTGTTCTCTTGTCTGCAGGAGATGGTCCCTAATAACCGCCGCTTCTTGGCTCTGGGCATCTACGAGTTTGGTAACCTGCCTGCCATGTTTGGGCCTATTATTGCCTATGCATGGATTGCATACGTCGGCACCGGCTGGCGCACATGTTACTATTGGTGCATCGCTTGGGAGGGGGTCGCCGTATTTGCCATCTTCTTCTTCTACCATCCGCCGACCTTCCAGACCAAGCACCGTGGCGACCGCGAGACATGGCTGCACCTACTGGCGGAGCTTGACTATGTCGGACTTGTTACCTTCACGGCGGGTTGTGTTCTCCTGCTCTTGGCCATCAGCTGGGGAGGCGTGCTGCACCCCTGGAAGAGCGCCATTGTCATCGGGCCGATTGTCGTGTCGGGCATGCTGTTTGTGTTTCTCGGCTTCTGGGAGGCTTATGCGCCGCTCCCACACCCGATCCTACCACCGCGTCTGTTCCGCAAAACCCGCGAGTTCACTACGGTTCTGTTTGTCATCTTCGTTGCCGGCATGCTGTATTACTCGAACCTTGCCCTCTGGCCTCGCGTGTCTAGTCTTTTGTTTATTCCGGCCAACGATACGATTAAGCGCGGCATCTACGCCGAGATTACCAGCTTCAGCACCACCCTCTCGGCCTTTTACGGCATCATTGCCATGCCGTGGCTGGGTCACGAGCGTTGGCAGCTGACGACGCTGACCGTCTTACAGACCACTTTTATCGGTGCCATGTCCGGTCTCAGTCTCGACTCCAAAGCCCGAACAATTGTGTTCACGCTGCTAGCCTCGACCTGCACGTCGATGTTGACGTTTGGCACCATCAGTCTCTTTCTCGATGATCAAGCTGATATGTAGGTGCAGTGCGCTCAGTGTTCCATTTTATTATTTAATTTTTGACCTACTTGTCACCGTCTCTTCCCCGTCCAGTTCACACTCTCATTACTACTTTAGCACTACGCATCTGCTAACGTACACACAGTGGTGTCGCTGTTGGCTTGACTAGCACTTCTCGTCTCATTGGCGGCGCCATTGCCGGCGCCATCTACACGTCCATCTACACAAATAAGTACAGCACGGGCATCCCCATCGTCCTGCAGGAATACGCCGATGCCGCTCACTTTAACGGATCGTTCCCACTTCTGCTCAAGGCTAGCGCCATTAACACATCCGGCGCTTATGCGAATGTACCTGGTATCACGGATGCCGTCATTGCTGCGGCGGAAATGGTCGTCAAGGTAGCGTACATTAACGCGTTCAAATATGTGTACTGGTCGGCGCTGGCTTTTGGCGGCGTTTCGATCTGCTGTGCCCTGGCAACACGCGCCGTTCCCGACGACCGTAAGACGAAGCAGCGTGCCGTGACCATGGAGAACGAGAAAGGCATCCGCGGCACAGCTGAGCGGGCAGCCACTTAAGGACAAAGTGTATTTTTAAAACGATAGATGATCCGGACCGGACCAAGACAGCGAAGACGACAAGGATGCAGATGTATATACCGGAATGTATGCACAATGGCAGTGGCATTATTTTCTACAAGGCACCGCCACCATCTACGTGAATAGTATGGCAAAGTACACAGCAACACTATATACTGTTTGTTTACTCCCGTTCTGACCTATTCTTGCGAGGGTGTACCACGATTGCAACCGGCAAGCTGGGCATTCAGAGACGGGCTCCATGTCTTTGCATTGGGCGGGATATTGATTACCAATCGGTCCTTCTGTTGGCTGTTGATATCCCAGGTCAACAATCTAGAAATTGTATGTTAACTAGTATGTGCTGGGCAGTAAGCTTGGATGGCAATCTGTCCGTGCAGGGGCATGGCATAGGCCAGTTAGGCTAGAGGCTGGCAGCTATACCACAAGAGACTTGAGTTATGACGGGGACTGAGCGCTAGGAAGTGTGCGCGGAAATCTAGTGATGGCCTGAAGAACTGAGGCTACGATGAATGTCGGCCGTTGCACATTGGCGAACTTGACAATCAAGTCGAGGCGAATAGCCAGTCCAACGGGCCACCCCTGTCACATTGCTTCGGCTTACATAGTTATGCAACAACGGAATAGTCTCCTTCCCGACCCTTTTCGGGGAGATCTGGGGCAGACGGAGAAGGAGTCCACTGCGGCACGAGTTACTGTCGACAGATGGCAGTCGAGAATAGTGACTGTATTCGAGGCCAACAAAAACATCCGCCAGAAAATCGTATATGGTCACGAATACAAAATTCAGAATCGTGAGCAAAATCCAGATTTTGGAATTGTAAACAACGACAAACTTCCAAGCTGTATATGCTTGGCCGCTCTTAATTTCTCGAGTACTTGAATCATAGGATGGAATGCTCTTCTCTATTGTCTAACAGTCAAACAGTCTATCAGGTATACGCATGTTGGGTGACAATGACAGTGCGCAAACAAGCTGCCGTCCGCGGAGAAACACTGATTCGCGAATCGTGCGGTGAATGGTGTCGGCGGTATGTGGTGACAGGCTGTATTATGCCCGGGATGATGCATGCTGCGCTCGATTCGCGACGGAGTTTGAATTTTGGCTCATAGTCCGTAGTACGCGGAGGTGTTCGTTCTTGAGCTCTTCAAAGTCGTGCTGCAACTGGTGATGCCACGGATAGAGGACGAACACCTGGAACGCGAGCGCCGAAGAGGCGACGCAGAAGTTGGTCAAGGAAATGATGCGCGTTGTTCTCATTTCGATCGGTGGCTTTGTTGGAACAAATGGCTGCTGTCGAACTGTGACGAGAGCGGGACAAACAACGCGAGAGAGAAAATGGTCAGCAGCGACTGTGTGTGGAAGGCAATGGTGATAATGGCAAATTGGCCACAAACCTTTGCACGTGAAAGTCGCGTGCGCACTCCCCGGCAGGATAAATCGCCGAGGACTTCGTACAAGCGACGGGTGTTGGGAGACAGGGCAAACAGTTGGCCACTGAGGAACGTCGCTGGACCTGAGGATCAATGAAGGGTAATTGAGCGCGTAATGTAAGGCAAGTTCTATCATTGACTGAAGTATGTCGTACGAGGGAAAAGGAGGCCAGCCTTGGGACAGAGTGTGCTGCCGACTGTCGGCCACGGGTATTTACGGGTTGCAGTGCTATGTGCTGCACGGACAGGTTTGCCACTATTCCCAATTAGCGTACCGTTACAGCGGCCACGTAAAGTAAAAACGTACGATCATGACAAAGAATTCGCATTAGTGCCAAAGAAAGCCGGGAACTTTACAAAACAATCTCGACAACACGGACATATTACGCCACAGCCGTTCTCTAATCCTGGCAATATATAGCTCCGTATGCGTACGGCTGCAGCATGCCGTCGCCCAGATTGTCGCTTAGATTATTGCCCAATTATTTTCCAAATCATCGCCAGCAACAAAACCTAGCATGGGTTCATAATAGGGGTCCGCGCCCCACGGGAGAACTTCCTGGAGAAGCCTGTCGGTGCTGTAGCCGCCACCGGTGGGGCATTTGCCACCAAGCCCATTTCTTGCATGGCCGCCTTGATTAGACGGGACCGTAGCATGAAACGCCGTATTCTGAATCGAGTCGGCACGTTCAACATCCGACATCTTCCACCACGACAACATAGCCATCGTCGACGACCGTTTGCTGCTTTGCTTTTGCGCTTTCACTAGAATCCTCCAACACTATTTCGAGAAAAGAGTGGCGAGAAGCCATACATATACAGTCTGCTATTTCGAGGAGCGTCGGGGTTCTTTGCCGAGAGGCCGGCCGCCTCTCCCTCGCCCATCCTCATCATTTTGCGAATATCCTTGACATGCGGCCCGCTCATCAGCACCGTAGGATGCTTTCGGCCACCGAGGAGCGTCACTGCGTCGCACAAACGCTCTCTACCAGCCGGGCTGTGGCCGATACCGATTGTGCACTATGTCCATGGTTGTCTCCTTCGTCGCATCGTCGGTGGCCCTTCTCGCAAGTCTCATAACCGTCTTGTCGGTGTCGCAGGCACAGTAGAATTTGTGCGACTTGGACAAATAGTGCCGTGGAAGGGATGCCGCGATGGGAGCTTTGTTCGCGTGCAGGGAATGCGGATATGGGTCGGGCCTGGTGACAGACCAAAAAATACAGCCACAGAGAAGCTGGTCAATGGCGACGACGGCCCAGGCTAGCGACATACTTTGTGTGGCAATAAATGCAAACATATCTGAAAAAAAAAAAAATGAAAAAAAATGAAAAAAAAAAAAATAGAACTTGGAAAGCGAAAATATGAAAACATAAAGTATATTGCTTTAATTACGTTTTTTTTTTTGAAATTGAATGACAAGCGTCACTAAAAATAATATACAAGAACTAAATCAATTCAGCACAAAGGGTGAATGAAATGCAACCGCAAAAGCGACCATATCTTTCAATTGCCATGACAGCCCTATAATTTGATATATGGTACATCCATGCCAATATGCACCCAACCAGATACCTCTACCCGCATATGTATTCCTACTTCTCGCTCTCATGGCACAGCCGCTCTTCAATCCGCCACGCGGTGATGGAAGGTCGACCTTTGTGAAGCGTGGATCCAAGGTCCACGGCAAAGCATTACAGGTCTCAACAAACCAGCGGAAAACTTCCTTTTCCATATCATCTATCCGACCGGCATACTCGGGAAGTCCAGCCAAGTTGTGAATCTCATGTGGGCCGGCCGCTCGATTGTAGAGCTCCGCGGCTTCGTACAAGCGGTAGACAATTGTCCGCTCGTGGTTGCGCATGAAAATGACCTTCCCAACCAGTGTGGTGTCCTCGTGCCGCAGTCAAGCCTTGATGTCGTACGGATATGGCGCTTACACCAGTAACGGTTCTTCTGATGTCTGAAAGCCGCCCTCGGAGAAGGCGTACGTCTTCGTGTATGTGCGTTGCGAAGTGTTGTTGGTGTCCTTGCCTTGCAGGAGCGGAACACACGACTGTCCATTGCGTGTAAAATGCTCGCCAATACCAACAAGCTCGAGCAGCGTCCGTACAAGGTCGACCATCTCAGTCACGGCCGACACAATGTGATTAGTCGGCAGACTAGCCCCGGCAACAAGCAGAGGTTCACGCACCGACGTTTCAGACAGTCCAGCCGGTCACTTCTCAATCAAGCCGTGGTCGTCGAAGTACTCGCCATCTTCTGTGAAAAATAAAGTAACTGCGTCTATCGCTTGGCGGGGCCAGCTGCGCTTATGTGCTGCCGGGGCTGTGTCCCATCTTGCCGGTCTGCCATTCTCAACATGGCGTAGGCTCCCTGGTGCGGCTTACACGGCCATAAGCAGCTTGCCAATGATTAGCCACGGCGTTGTGTTTCCCACGCTGCTCGTGGCCCAGCTGGCGATCCATACAGCCCAGACAAAGTCGTCATTATCACGTTCACTTTGCTATTGTTTACGAACTTTGGTAACATTCTTGGCGCGGCTGTCAATAGCTTCGCGACGCAGAATACGCTCGCCTACTACCTCAAGTACCTCGTTCCAGGTCTGGACAAGGCGGCTGTGGTTGACACGAACCCATCTGCTCGTGATTGATGTTCCCGTCCAGTTTTACAAGGGACAGTCCACCGGCGACTGTTGCGGGCCATACACTGGACATTCTTCCAGTATGCGGTCACGGGTGACCTGAACATCCCAGGAAACACAAACAGCATCCGCATCCAGCGGCCACTCGACTCCTCCAGCCCACAGCCCAGAGTTTGTACGTCTCTGCGTTTCTGTGTTTTGTGTTTATGTACTTTCTTGCATAAGACACAGTCACGGCTCGCGTCGACAACAACAGCCCAAGGAAGATGAATCGTCGCGTATCGTCCCCTAAAGCAGGCTCGGGAATGTATGAGGTTTTCTCTTTGGCGTCTCATTTGTTGGACATTTGTGAAGATTAGGGAAGCATTCTTTGTTCCTGCTCCTGCTGTTACAGCATTCGTGCGGTATATATGTATTTACGATGATCTACCAAAAAAAATTATTACCTCCATTACACCATCTCCTTCTGACGAACTACTCTGTAATTCCTGCTATTTTCATGTTATGAGGCTACTTTAATTATATTTCGTGTAGCCTTCAACTGCCTCGTCACCGTCTATACCCTTTAAATTGTGCCTTGTTTTTTACTTACAGCCTGCTTCATGCCTTCCATCTGATGCCACGATTTCCACCTCGCCGCGTCAGCCGCTAACCTGTTGTATGCCCCTATATAACTCTCGCCTGCCCCTCGCGCAGCATCCCAAACTTCCACGCCTCTATTCTTTCCAAAAACACTAACACAAAAACAACCAACACTCAAACACTCACATATCACAGCTGAATCACCACCACCTTCCATCACTGTATATCTCTGACAAGACAAGCTGGATTCCCGCAGAAGACTGCCACCCTCTCCACGTGCAATCGGCCCGCTTCCGTATCCAGCCACCAAGGTTATCATCGGCCAGTACCTGTCGGCTGGCCTCCAGGACAACGTTGCCTTTTGGGGTTGGCTTATCGAGGCAGCGTTCTACAACGACAACGACGACAAGCTGTGGGCAACAAAGATATTCATTGCACAGAAAGCTTTCTAAACAGGAAAAAAAATGGCATTCAACAGCTTTGGCGGTGGGACTGGAGGCGGTGGCAATCCACGGTACGGTCGCGACTCCAACGGGCCGCTCCCACCAGCCACAGGCTTTCCTACTGCCCGCCCTATGCCATACTACACGACCGCCATGCCTGGAGGATGGCCGTATGCCCAGCCGCAATATATCGGGCATGTCCCCATGACCTTGCCGGGTAACCAAGTGTACCTGACAGCGGCTCCGCCCAACAGCGCTCAGATCCCCATGATCAATCAACAACCCGCCCTCACTCAGGGCCAAGGCCCACAGCCCGCTCTCGACCGCAATTTTCGCACTTGCAGCATGCGCAACACCACCGGCGGCTTCGGCTGTGAGCCCGGCTACAACTACTTTTTCCCTGCCGAGCACACCAAGATCCATGTCTTGAAGACTGGCCCGACGCCGCCCTGGCAGCTGCCGCCCAACTTTGCCATCCAGTTCCACGCCACGCACGTGCCCGTCAACACCACAGTCGCCGAGCTCATGAAGGGCTTTGGTGCCAAGAATCCGCTGCCAAAGAAAAACATTATTACCGAGGTGTGTCCTGGCGGCGGTGGCAAGTGGTACAAGGGCATTGAGGTCAGCGGTGACAATCTAGACATGATGAAGAAGCCTATCAAGGAGCTGGGCTGGGATGGGACACGAACGGGCCTGCGGGGGCAAAAGAAGGTTGTCTATGTGTACGTTCAAAGAGGCTGATGAATTGTATTTGCAACTGCGTTTGTAGCTGCATTGGAGTTTACAAGTTGGAATTTCGGTCATGCAAAGATAGTGTTGTTTGTTGATGGCGATATCATCACTAGTTTTTTTTAACCTCAGGTAGGGTAAGGAGGTGAAATGTACTGCTTTGAGAATGCATTCTTTGGTATGAGAAATGTTGGAAATAGGGATGGTGTCTGTTCGTGAGCGCAGGGTTTTTATCACTTCCAATTTCAGCGAAGATTAGTCTCTACTATTAGAATTATTGGCAGGTTTTTACTGACCAAGTTACTGCTCGTTTATGTTACGTATGTAGTTATTAATTTTTTTTTAAAAAATCAGTATTTCCAAAACACGGCCTTTTTTTCTTCTTAAAAAAACAAAAACAAAAACAAAATATAGAAAAACAATAAAACAAAGAGACAGCCACTGACGACTTATGTTCCAGCTGAACAATTTACAAGTTTTTTCGTGAGCCACGAGATTCCCACTTTCTTTTTCACCTTTTGGTCAAATTACTAGAATGAATTGAAAACAGACAAAAGAAATCGTATTGTAAATGTACATAATAAACATACAACTCAACGTAGCGCATACGTCTACCAGACTCAAGTACTTCACCAAGTTTTAAGATTCAATAACTACTAATCAGTTGATACCTCTCTCTCTCTTATCCCCCTTAATAGCCGTAGTAGCGCGGTTCGTCAAAGACGTGGTAGCGGTGGCCACGCACACCTTCACCGCGGAATAGTGCGGGGAAGCGCCAGCCGACAGGTACCTCGGACTCATCGACACGGCGATTGCGCACTTCCTCCTCGACATCAAATAGGTACTGCGCGCGCTGGGCGTCAGCGGCCTTGTCAGGGACGACAAACTTGGCGACCTGCAGCTCGGTGTCGGTAATGGTGCTGCGGCTGATGCGGGCGTAGCCGACGCGTTGCAGGCCCTTGAATAGAATGTACTCGCACCAGCGGTCCCAGTCGGTGGGATCGACGTCGTGCATACCCGATTTGTCCGAAACGTAGGTATTATAGTTGCCCTCGAGCGGCTTGGTCACCAGGTAGCTCAGCAGGAAGCTGGGACGGTCGGTGCTTCCCATGAGCTTGGCCAGGTACTCGGACTGCAGGCGACGGTCCTCGGGGTCTTCCTCCTGGCCCGAATGGAAGACAAAGACGTCGACCAGGGTGCCGTGAACATCGAGGGTGGCGTGGATGGCGGGGGCCAGCTCGCCGACGGGGCTAGGTAGTAGGTGGTGGGTCGAGTTGACAATGGGGAACTTGGACAGTAGAGCAGCGCCCCAAGTGTGCTTGTTGGGACCCGGACCGTAGTCGACATACATGCCCAGGTCCTCAGCGAGGTACTGCGTGGTGTCGCGGTTGCCCATGATGATGCGCTGTAGGTCGCTCTCCAACAAACCCACAACATCTAGCTCGGCCTCCTTGATGAGATCACGCATGCGGCGCTCGGAGCTCCACATGTCGTTGTCCAAGCTAAAGTGGATGGTCCAGATACCGGCCGTGATGACACGGTCGTCGGCATGGTAGCCCTTGTAGTCGTTGCTGGGGAAGCGCATGAACGCGGCACACAGGAACAGGATATTGAGAACGCCAGCGACACCAAAATAGTGCTTGCGGTGGCGGGCAGGTAGGGCGTTGCTGGCGACGCGCTTGGCGTACTTGGCGGGGCGTTGGATAGAGCGGGCAGTGTTGAGGTTGAAGATACCGCAGCCGATTAGCAGCATGGTGACAGTCATGATCCAGTCGGTATGTTCACGGACAAGGGGACCACCAGGTACGAAGGCATAGGCGACAACCCACACATGGAAGAGAACCATGAAGTTGTAGACAAGGAAGCCCAGGCCAAAGGTCAGGGCCGGGCTCTTTTTAGACGAGGCCGAGATCAACGGTACAGACAGGGCCATGAGATACGTGGCCAAGACAAGGGCTCCATAGTAGCCGAACCAGTTGCTGTAGAGGGTGAGCACAGCGGCGCCGACCGATGCGACGCCGAAGGCGGACCAGGACGACGCAAGACCTGGCACAACCACACCAAAAACAATGCCGCCAGTCATGGCAAAGATGGTGTAGTAGGCGTGGATGTTGGAGAGGGGGCCCCGGACCGGGTAGCCCTCCCAGACCCACAGAATCATGGTGCTGGTGTCGGACAACAGAGAGTGCAAAGCGAATAAGAGACCGCCGAAGCTCAGGGCGAATAGGGCCGAGGACGGACCAGTTGTCCGGTCCGTAATGTCGCCGCCAGCAGCAGCCGGACGTCTGCGGGTAAAGCGCAGAGCAGCAAGGATGGCCAGGACGAGACCAGTGCCGTTCCAGCCGCCGTTCTCGGCGTGCATGATCGGCCAGATGGGGTTGTTGGTATGCCAAGCGAACTTGGCGATGCTGGACATGAGAAGACCGATGACGAAGGCAAGAACGCGGGACTCGACACGGGAGTCATGGCTGGCGTCGGCGTAGAAGGTGGCGGCCCAGCCAAGGCACTGCAGGGAGACACCGAAGCCGATGGTGAAGAGGCGGTAGACGGGGTCGTGGACCATATAGGCAGTGAGGCCAGCAAGCGACAGCAGGTGAACGAAGCGCAAGTTGCGGACGACGAGGGTGCGGAAGGGACGGATGGCAAGCAGGAAAGGCGAGATGGTGGACATGACAAAGGCCTCGTAGCCTGAGATGCCCATGTGCCACAGCGGGAAGTACCAGACGGTCAGACCCAGGCTGGTCAGGACGGACCAGAAGGCGAAGCCGTGGTAGACATCGGCGGCAGCATCTAGAGCCTCACTAAGGGTGAAGGATGTGGAGAAAACGCCGGCGGTGGCCTTTTCCTTTTCACGGTCAAGCGGGGGAGCACTGCAGGAGAAGAGAAGATTTAGAAAGGTGGACCTGGGAGGTGGCGGCAGCGGATGGGGACGGCAGGGAACGAGGGGCAAGGAGGGCAAAGTCGATAGGACGACGGGCCAAAAGACGGTCAACAAGAGAGCGGGCAGGAGACGAGCATTAGAGACTGAGGGGATTTGGTAGGGAGTGGTGGTGAATGTTGCGTTGTACTTTTCGCGTTTGACAATCCTTGGCTCTGTTCCTCTGCCCCCCGCCCCTCGTGTCCCCCTTCGTGCCCGTGATGATTTGTTTCTGCACCCCCTGGCCTACTTGGGAAGCCATTGCACGTACCCCTTGCTGATCCCCTTGGTATCTTTGACGACGAGCTCAAAGGTGTCGAAATCGAGAGCGGTAACGGCATCGAAAGCAACATCGAAGAGGACGAGGGACCACTCGAAGAAGGCGTAGATCGTGTAAGCTAGCAGCAAAGAAGGAGCGTCAGCGCGAGCGTTGATAAAGCGAATATTAGTATCTTGGAGGGTAGGAGGCTTACCACCCGGAACGCGGTGCACCTTGTGCTGGATGAAAAAGTAGACGAGCGGAACAATGGTGCCAAAGAAAGCGCCGGCGACATATTTGCGGTACTTGATGGCGGTGGCGTTGTTGGGGCTCAGAGCCAGGCAGCCAAACATCCAGGGGATGGTGGCCACGAGATACGAAATCATAAAGATGTCGTGCCAGTCGTGGTTGTCTGTCGAGGTGACGTAGGTCCAGCCGCCGCAGGTGAAGGTGCGGAAGACACCAAAGTATGCAACGGTCTTGGGCAGGGTGCGGCCGGGCTTGGCGGTCAGCAGGTACCAGAGGCCGACGAGGGCGAAGCGCGGGCCGGAGGTGAGGGCGATGAAGAGCATGAAGAAGGAGCGCTCGGGGAAGCGATCGCCGATGGTGGCGGAGACGGAGGGGAACCATTCTTCGGGGTAGCCGAACCATTCGTTCTGGACGATCTTTGTGTAGTGGAGGGAAACGCCGACGAAAAGAGCACTAAGGAAGGCGGCTGGCTGTGTTAGTCGAGGGAAAAGCATAACGAGGCATCACGAGATCGGGACGAGGTCGGTCACTCTTTCTTACCATATGCAGCGCCGGTGTGCAGCCAGCTCACCCATTGGCCATTAAAGGAGAGAAGCACGCCGGCGTCTTTGTCCTTGTACTTAGACGCCATGATGGGTAGGCGGGTGGAAAGGTGCGGTGGTGATGTTTGGTGATGTTTGGTGGCAAAGAGAGAAGAGGAGGACGATAAAATGGAGAGGAGAGTACGAACCAAAAAGAGGCCGCTGTGAGCTCCTGACGCGACCAACCCCAGCTGCGCAGGCGCGTTGGAGCTGGAAGCCTCGGCCCCCTGAAAAGGGGCTCCCCATGGTTCCCGCGTGTCTAATTTTTATTATGTAAGATGACGACGGCTTCTGATTGGCCTACAAAGCGTGTGTTTAAAACAGCCTTATGTAATCATTTGGACCCCTTTTTATTTTTCAGACACCACTTCGTATCGTCAACATTATTGTCATCAGCCATGGCCTCCGACCCCCCTCCCGACCCTTCACCCTCCCTCCCGAAGCCGTGTGACGAGTCACGAATAGCTCTCCTTTTGTCGGTCAATGTCTGGGCAGCTTCGCATGGCTGTGCGTTTGTTACCGGACGTTCAACAAAACAAAAATAAACAGGAGAGTGGTGACGTACGTTTGTGATCGATCTGGCAACCAACCAGACAGTACGAAGACCCCACCGACCCCCCCGTCGTTGCCTGCGCCGGCTGGCCCTAGGATACATCTTCACGCGGCACCGAAGTACCGCGCTCAGCTGAGTTGGACGAGTCCTCCCCCCATTCATTGTCATTGCTGGCATGGCGGTGAGGCTCGGTCGACTGAGTGGCCGGGGAAGTCTAGTGACGTTATCGTTGAATGAGGTCTTCAAGATACTAAACTACAATTGTTCCTAACGACCAGGTCACCAGAGTCTGAGCCCACGGCGTCTGTGCCATCTTTTCAAGCGTTTCTATTGGATAACGATCACGCTTAATGGTAAACATGGCTTAGTATCATATTAGGTGGCAGCTGGCGGGCGACTTCTGAAGCGGGTCAGGCCCTCCCCTGGCCACTTTTGGTGGACAAAACCATTATTTCCCTCTCTTCCTCAAGAGCCACTTTCAGCGCGGTGTGAGGTTGGGATGAGTAAGGTTCGGCAACTGCCAGCCATTATACATGTCTCTGTCTCTCACTCAGCAAATCAATTATGTTACGTGTTTGTATAATTAGCGCATAGATTGGGGATGCTGAAAAGATGCAAGGCAGATGCGCAGATTTGGTTCTTCGTTCTGCGTCCTTAATTCTTCCTTTCCTTCCAACTTATGTTTTCTCGTCTGCGCGAAGTTCAAATCTCACGACGACGCCAATCATCAGATTCTGCCCCCCTTGTTAATCAACACCATGTCCGATACCAGCGAATTCACAATAGCCGGTGATACCTGCTCCTCCTCATCGTCAGCCTCGGCTCTGGGTCCCGGCAGCAACCAGAACAGCAACAAAATCATGGGGAGAACCTGTAAAGTCATACAAGACACAGTGTATCTGATGCGGGACCTTATCTTGGAACTGTACAACGAAAGCATCCGCCATGGCACGATCATCATCCACCCTAGCGATAAGCCTTCTTGTGACGGCCACTCTGAAGACGATGGCTCAAACAAGATTGACTTATTCGACAAGAAAAAGAAATACTTTGCTCACACTATGGTGGACGACCTCATTCAGGTCTTAAAGTCGTTTGGTGACGTTGTTGCCGTCCTTCCCGAAGAGGGTCATGCCGAGACGGCCGAGTCCTTGGCTAGGGTCTTGGTTGAGTTGAGCCTTGCACTAGCGGACGCTTGCATTGGCCTCCATAATAACCACGATGGTCTTGAATTGAGTACCCGCAAGACGATACAAGAGACTCTACTCGATGTTGTTTACTGCAAGTGTATATCACAGATTCGTGAAAATGCACACCGTTCAGAGTACCCGGCACAAGGGCAAGCTCTGGTAAAGCACACCAGGGATCAGCTTTCTACTCTCGTTCACTCTGTTTGTGAATGCTTTGCTCACCTGTCACCGGCAGACATACAACTTATAGCCAGTATCCTTGAAAGGCTCCTTCCAACGTATGCCTACGCGTTGACTGACATATTTGGGAATGTGGCGGTTGTGTCCAATAAATACATAACCTACGCCGACTCAGTCCTGGACGAGTTAGACAGTGAAACGCCAGGCACCGATGAGAACAGCAGCGAAAATACTACCGTGAATAAAGGCAACGGTAAAGACGACAGGCAAAACACAAATTGGAACTGGCCGTGGCAAATCTGGAAGATGCGCGAGTGGTGCGCATCATTCTGGCCTTAGGTTACGAAGGATCATTCGTGAAAAACATCTACAAAGGCATGGCACAAAACGAAAACCTTACAAATAGACTGGTCTTGGTTTCCTTGCCAAAAAACAAGTACTTATCCAGGACACCACGAAAAGGTGCCAGTCTGTCGTCCTGGGCGCAGGAAAAAAAAAAAAAAAAAAAAAAAAAGGGTACTGTGCTATGATTGTGCTGTGCTTGTGCTGTGGGCATGGGCTAGACATAAATAGCAAACACAAAAGAAATCAAATACCACTCACCATTATTGTTGGTCCGGGGACTTTCGTGATCGGGTGTTGTGGTGACGGCCGGGCGCCGTGGACTGCGTCCCCCCCGACCTCCCAGTCGACGTCACCTGCGCCGGCTGGCTCTGGGATGCATCTTCACTCTGCACCGAAGTACCGAGCTCAGCAAGGTTGGACGAGTCCTCCCTTCCTTCATTGCTGGCCTGGCGGTGAGGCTCGGTCGACTGAGTGGGTGGCCAGGGAGGTCTGGTGACGAAGGCGCTGGATGTAGTCAGGGAAATTGTCGAACACAAACTTAGACGCTACACCCAGCGCCCAGCTCACCAGAATCGTAGTCCACGACGTCCCGGCCATCTTCACCTGGGCGTCGGAAATCTTGTTCAGGGCGTCGGCCATTGATTAGAGGGTTTTGGGCAATGCTTCATTGCACGCGGATTGGCTGCCGACCTCAATGACTGCGGGCACAGTGCTTGTGACAAAAGCGGAGTTCATGATGATGATGGTATAATAAAAAGCTGTGAAAAGGATAATATATGAGAAATAAAAAGTGACGTAGACTGTAAGAATGGGGAAGGGACGAAACGTTGCATATTTGTAAATGAGCAGGACGTGCAGATCAACCCGGCAGATGAGCTGGCAATCAGCAAAGCAAAATTTCAGCACAGTGACTTTTTTCTTCGTCTTCTTTTTTTCTTTGGTCTCCTTTTTCAAATGGAGCTTTGTGACTGGACAGAAATTGTGCTCTGTTGGGATAATTTGCAGTATCAGTTGGAAAGAGGAAGGAGCGATGAGGGTCGAAGTAGAAGCAGATATCTTGTCTGCTTCAGGTTCCAGGTCTGAGCTGTGATTCCCGGCGGACCAGTTAAGTTGAGAACATGAAAAAAATTGGGCTTACTAGACATTCAAAGTGACCAACTTTTGATATGCAACACATCTACAGTCCCCACGTATTATACAGGGGTGCAGATTTTACGAGCATCTGACAAACTTTGCACCAGGTACTTGGAGGATCGCGTGAGGACGCCGGACGAGTTATTGCCCAAAACGGAAGGGACGCGTGAAAGTTCTGTTGAGCGCGCAGGGCCTGTTGTGACAAGTACCCACGAGAAACTCCTGTGTCTTTTTTTTTTTTTGCTTTTGTAGCGCCTCCCAAAGCCGTGACTCGGAGTAGCCAAAGAAAGGGTGACGAGACCAATGCCCATCATTGTCATGTACGCCTGCTCCCCCCTGTCGCTCTAGGCGACGTATTTGGAAATGCCATCGAAGGAGACGTTGTCGTTGACATTCTAAAAACCGGAGACGTGCTGGACTCGCAGATGTTTTATGTCACCCAGGACGGTATCGCCTGGGCCACTGTAAGGATACTCATTTGGCGACACGATTGCCTTCAAAGATGCCAGTGGATCGTAGGAACTACCGTGAACGTTGTGTAGCCGGTGTCGGTCAACGGGTCAATGCCGGGGCTTCCTGTGAGACAGTAACCGCCCGTTCCGTGGTGAAGCGCGTTGTGCAATGACCTAGATGAGGGTAGTTAGTATTGCCATCAAGTGAGCATCATTTTACGTCCAGGCAAGTACCCGGCAAACTTGTCGGTTATCTAATGGACATGTTCATCCCTCGAGCTATCATGTCCTTTGACAGCGGGACGTTGTCTCAATAAGACAACGGCGGGATATGGTGCACAAGTTATGCTGTGTCACAGCGTGGATAGCGACAGGGGAATTTTTCTGTGGCGGTCTCATTATGTCGAGGTGTCGCTAAGTCAAATGTCGTGATTTCGCTCGCACACAGCGCTTGTATCCAATAACGTCGCGGAGCACCTCTGGAACCACCTGAATTACAGCGAGTGCTACTGCGACCGCTGGCTCTCAACGCAGTCTCGCCGACACAACATGTAGGCCACACTTCGTAAATCACGTAGGCCCCCGCCCTCCCTACTGTGCTACTGTGGGAGGTTCTCAATTCTCAAAAGGATACCTGGCGGTTAGAACCATCATCTGAACAGACAAATAAACATGAAATGTGGACCGTTGGAAAAAAAAAGCTTCCAGCACAATATGCTTTGAGCGGTGATATGAAGACCGTGTGTATATCGTGAAATCTTGCTCAGTCGCTACTAAAAGTCTGCTCCTTTCGGCGGTCTGGCCGTCCGACGGAAAAGTGGTCGCCTTTCCCCCTGCTTTACTCCTGGTGGTGGCCGTCTACGGCTGTTGGAACCTGCAGGCCACGACATGGCAGGCCAGTCTTCGTCATGGATGGCCGGCAATACCAAATGTTTCCTCCAGCACAATCATAGAAAACCTCTCTCGCTAAGCTCCTCGAAGCGCTCATCTCCCCGCACACAGAGAACACTTCTACGACGCCGCCGAATTTTGCGACAGTTGGTTCACAGCCACTTGCCTTGAACGTCTCCGAGACTATGCCATGCAATACTGGGAGTCTGCGGACGGCGCAATGACGCAGCCACGGGTAACGTGCAATGAAAAGAAGCATATTCCATAATGGATATGGCGGAATAGATCTTTATTATTATTATTTTTTTTAAAAAAAAACTCTCCAAAAGAATCGATATTAGTCATTTTGCGTTCTTTTAAAAAGAATTTTCTGGAACAGAAATGAACAGAACGTTGAAAAACAAGTTCAAGGAGACGTAAATCACCTTTTTTTACATTGCTGTACCAGCTCTCGTGTATTAAGATGCACCCGAATTAAAACATAATACCTGTACCTCAAATGGTGACTTCTGTTATCCTGCGTGACTTCTGTTATCTTGTCCAGCCTTGACAAACGAAATCCGTGTTGTAATCAAACAATTTGACGCAGGTTTTTCAGAAACAAAACAAATGTTATACCGAAAAAACAGCCTCTGGGGCAGAAACAAACATGCTCCCCCAACACACGAGCATATCGCAGACCACGTCGCGTGCATGAACCCCTCGTCCCCCTTCTCTCCATTCTGACCAAATCACTCGCCAATTTTTGCCTTCTTCACCCAGAGCTCGCCAATCGGGTCGCCCGCCTCGGCAATGCACTCCCAGTCGCCCATGCCGTAGTGCGCGGGCGCCACGCGGCATCCCCGTCCACCGCCGCCGACAATCAGATTGCCCGGGCGGTAACTGGGATCCTGCTTCATGCGGCGGACCACACTGCCGTGCACATAGACGTTGTCAGGGATATCGCGGACCTCGCCGCAGGGCAAAGGCCACCTGATGGGTTTCCAGGAGCCGTCGGCCTGCAGATCCATGCGCCGGAAGGGCATGTACTCCATGATTTTCCAAGACGTGACGGTGACCTTGTTGAGGCCCCCGCCGTACTGCAAAGAGTCGTGGATGGGGGCGTTATGAGCCTTGTGCATCATATCATGGAACTGCTGGCGGGGGGAGGTGGAAAGATGGTCCTTGTCAGGTTTCCCGTCATTGTGTGCGGCACGACCAGTAGCAGAAAGGACCAGCTTTCCCTCACTGCCGGCTGTGGTGGGCTGACTGCCGCTGGCCATGGTTTCGTCCTGGCTGTTGATGCGCACAGTGGGCGGAGGAGCAACGACAATGACGGGCTCGACGACATCAGGCGCCACGGATATTTCGGGCACGTGCGCTTGATGGAGAGCGGCCGACGGGCTGAGGAGGGTGTGGAGGTTGTGTGCGGCCGCCTCCACGTCGTCCCTCAAGTTGGGCGCCCACTGGTTCTCGAGCACGTCTGAACAGCCCATGGCCACAACCTTTTCGGCATCAAAGTTGAGACCGGCCCGCATGGCCTCACGGACCATCCAGGTCAGCGGCACGTGGCTCGCGCTCTTGGTGCCGGGCGTCATCTCCCAGCCGCCGCCAATGTCGGCATGGTCGCCCGAGAACCAGACTTCTGACAGGTCCTGCGGCACGTCGTCGTCGTCGTCGTCATTGTTTTGCACGTTGCTGTACTCGGAGACCAAGTCGGCGTTGTCGACGTCAGCAGCGCCACCACCATCCGACCCACCAGCACCATGGCAGCCACTGCCACGCGACTCGCACGACACAGACCGGCTGTGGGGACGATACGGCGCGGGGTTCTCGGGGTCATCGCTGCCGTCGCCGGACTCGGCCACATCCGACAGCCGCGTGGTCTGGCGGCCGCGCTTCTTTACGTCGTCGTCGTCATCGACGTCGTTGTCATGGTCATGGCCATTGACACGATCGTGATCTTGACTGACTCGACTGTCACCTCCATCTCTACGGATCGCCGACGATACGGCCGCCTGCAAGCTTACACGCCGCGCGCGGTACTTCTCGTGCACGTCGTGCAGTACCTGGCGCGGGTCGCGATGCTGCTTCTTGGCCGAGTGGCCAGAGCCCTGGTAGACCAGATCCTGCCGGAACTTGGCGCGGCGCTCGTCGATGCTGACGGCGTGCCGGACGACCTTGGCCGAGCTGCGCGCCGTGTACGGAAACTTGCTGCGCTCCATCCAGGCCGTCTCGAAGCGCGGCACGCTGTTGACCGTGTCGAACAAACCCAGAAACTGGATGCGGCGGACGGGGCGCGAAAACGTTTCCCGGAAGCCCTTCATAAAGGCGTACATTTCCTTCTTCTTGTCTGCACCGCCGTTCTTGCCACTGCCACTGCGCCGGCACTGCCACTGACTAAACGACTTCCAGGCGAAGTGCACCATCTCCTCGTTGCCGTGCGTCAGCAGACCTACGTAGTCCAGCATCTCGGCCAGGAAGCGCGCAATGTAGGCACCACGCGAAAAGCCAAACAAGTAGATTTCGTCGCCCGGGTTGTAGAACCGCATCAGAAAGCGGTAGCCACCGACGACGTGTTGGTCAAAGGACGAGCCGACCGCGATGTCCTTGGCCTTCATGTACCACGACCGGATGCGGGCCCGGGTGGACGTGTTTGACAGGCCGCTGGACACGACATATGTGCCAATGCCAGCTGTGAGGGAGGCAGTGGCCGTCAGTGGGTGTGAATTGGAGAAAAAGAGAATGAGAGCAGTGGCCAGTGGTTGTGGAACTCACGCTGATAATAATGGTACTGGTCATCGGCCGTCCGGTCGAGCATGCGGAATATCTTGAGAATATTGCTGTCCGAGTCGTCCCCACGAAACTTATTGCCCGTGCCGTCAAAGCACAGCACCAGCTTGCGTGGACGGCGGTCGGCGGGTGGTGCCATCTCGTCGTGGTGGATGTGGTGATGTGGATGTCGGTGGTGTTGGTGATGGTCGTGATGATGCCCTGGTGGAGGCTGAAATGGGTTTCGCAGGTGAAATGTCGAGTCGGCACCAGTATTCAAAGTGTGCTGTTGCAGATTGGCTTGGTTGAGAATCTGAAGCTGCAACGGGATTTGATGTGCATCACCGTCTTCGGGCACTAGGTGAAGCGAGTCCATCTTCGGCGAGTCGATGGGGGGGAGTGTGATTCTGAAATAGGGAAAGCGAGCGGGAGGCGTTCTGCAGGGGATAGCTTCGAAGCTGTCCTACAACGTATTACAACGCCTGGTGGATGGAGCAGAGGAAGGACTGGACAGTGGCAGGTACGTGCCCGCCGCACATGGTACGAAGTGGTACTGAGCCTGTCCGGGTGAAATCGAGGACGATCCCCGGTGACGCAGTGATCGAAGGACCAGAGGGCTGCAGATGTGTGGGATGGATGTCTCTGATTCGATGGCCCTTGGCGGTCGTCGTATGGCTTGTCGAGGGATGCATACAGCTTGTGCACGGCGGACGATCACAGACTGTTTGGGACGAGCAGAAAGTGGACGACACAAGACACGGGATGAGGATGAACGCTGCTCGTGGAGCTGCAGTGTCTCAGCGCACGCAAACAAGGAACGGCGGTGGAGATGGGAGCACGGGAGAAGGGAGGGAAAGAGGGAAAGATAGGCAAGAGGTCGAGCGGAGACGACAATGGATTGCAGGGTAAAGACTGCAAAGAGGCGGATAATGAGATCAAAATAAATAAATAAACATGAAATAAAACACGAGACGGAGTGAGACCTGCAGGGTGGTTGAAGGTGGGCAGAAAGAAGGAAAACCGGAAAACTGGTGTCATGGATAGACAGAAATAAAAGACAACGAACTCAAAGCTGGCCGGCAACGAAATTTATGAAAAAGAAAAAAAGCTACGAGTAGACAGAAAAGGGAGAGTTACGGTGCTTAAAGTATAAGACGATGGCCGTCGACTAACATGAATATTACAGCTTTAAAAGGGGAAGCTAAAGTCAATAGTGTCGATGGGGAACGGAGCGAAGCGGTCGCTTAACACTGCTGACGGTTTTCACCTATTTTTCACGTGTCGGCAGGTCGGGGTCAGGGGTGCTCACTGTCCACGATGCATGCTGCCGTCAAAGATGACGATGACGGGCCTGAACGGAGACGGCGGCATCTACTCGTCCAGATCCAATGAAAGAAACATCATGCCTGCAGATCAATCTGGCTCGTGGGTGGCTTTTCGCAGCCTGATTCGCCTTTCGTCTCTAGGTATGTCGGAAATGGGAAGGGATAGGGAGAACGAAAAGGATGAATTTAAATAAACAAGAACAGAAATAACTCCACAATCGAAAGGAGGATAATGTAGGAAGACTATTGTTGTCCCGGTGCAACATGGCTGAATCGGGACACAAGTTGTGAATAAAAATAGGCGTGAAAACAGATAGTGCATAACAGTGACACTGTAGCCAGTAAATTTGCGGAATAGGTGACCGACAGAAGGGCACAATATGGACTAGGCTGTAGTACTACCGGGGCGACGGTTATGGAATGTCTATTGACTCGTTGGGGTGAATATTGGCTACGGGAAGTCGTCGTTAATATTGGGAACGCGGCTCAAACGCTACGAAATGGGGCCTGAGCGGGAGGTAACGGTTCTGGTAGGGCTGGGGAAAAGTAAACGAACTGCTTGCACGGCGCTATGTGGTAAAAATGATGATGCGGCGATCGTCGAGCATTGGTGGAGTAACAAGCAGCTTGAAAACAAGAGAAGAGGGATTGGCAAAGTTGAAAATCACGATGAAATCAAGACATGTTTCCATAGGGTGTGGGCGCTTAGCTCTGTAAATGAACGGTGAACATAAAATAGCACACGAGTAAAGACACGACAGTCAATGGAAATGCCAGAAAATTTGAACGATGTGCAATATGCATGCAATATGCAGTGGCCACACTTCAGCTCCGTCCCGCGGCCCAATTTTGGCCTAGCATGCTGCACGGCAGTGGACCCATGTCTCAGAAGGGAAAGCCAGAGCAAGACATGCAGAGGGTTTAAAGGGCCGACCGGGCGCTGCCAGCCTGGCCCAAAAATGCAATCCCTGGACCCAGCACTCGGGATGCCCTTGCTGGTTTACATCTGACGTCGCACTCTGGGTTACGACGTGTTTGTCGGGCCCAAATGGTGGGAATTGGGTGGTAACATTTGGTTTGTTAGAGTTTGCTTACCTCTCTTCGTTTGTTCTGTGCACGCGTTTGGCAAAAAAGATATTATGATATGCCTGCTATTAGCGCAGTGCACACCATGCGCATGCTCGTGTGCCTGATTGTCCAATCCGCAGTTGACACTATTGCATGGCAGACTTTTTTTTTAAATAACAGACAGCAAAGCTGAAACTAAAAGTGGGCTTCACAGCTTCGACGAATCGACAGTGCCGCGGCATTGCAGATGTGATTGATGCACGACGTATGACCAGGAGCCAGCTTCATACATTTTTTTTTCCACATCTACCGCCAGGAGAGTTATCATCGTCATTCACACCACTTTTGCGGGTAGCAAAGGCGATTTCTTCTTCTAGCTTCTCTGCTGTGGTGTCGCCTTGACTTGTCGTATTTGTCCTGTCTTGGTGGGGACCGGAGTCCAACCCGACTTGATTTGCTGGGCTTTCATATTCTTGCAATAACATCCATCCCGAGACATTAAGACGCTCCTCTGACAGCCTGTCACAACCCGTCACAACCCGCCACAACCCGCCACATCCCGTCTCATCCCGTCACGACTCCGTCACGACCCTATCACGACCCATCGGGGTCCTTCTTCGCGGCTGCGGCTTGGCTTCTATTATGGCTCACACCATTTCGTTTTTACATCGTAATACTCCAGGTCAAAGTAAAAGGTAGCCCCGTAAATCTCGTAATGTGTTATTTTTCTTTTTCTGCCAGCACATCCGCATCAAACCTCACAACCGCCATGAACAGCCTAGAAATCGGAAAGGAAGCGGGCCGTTGTCTCGTTCTTAACCGGGGTATCCCTGTCCATGACTGCCGGGGGATGCCCTATTCCGAGTAGGCAATTGATCGTCCAAAAGAGAAGAAAACAGAGGCGTATCGACCTACATCAAACCTGCACCGGCTTGCATCAACAACTAAAATCATTCACAAATAATCTACGTTGAAAAGAAATTCGACCTACTTCCAAGCTTACCTGTTTCTCAGTTTGATTCGAAAATTTTCACGTACTTGTTTTGCACAACATGTCTTGCAGATAATGTCTTGCCTTGATTTGTGTCCTGCATCGTGCATTGCATTGTCTCGCTCTTGTTCACGACGTCGTCCACAGCCTATTCGGCTTGGCTGTCTTGCATCCTCTCAACCAGGACAGGCGTTCTCCGCCAGTTGTCTCGCGGAAACTTGCGATTGATCGACTTGTGGTTTACCTTTTCTGAAGCGCCAAAGGGGCACGAGGGAGGGTGGCCGGAAACATGGCCAAAGATACAGAAAAATCAAACAAAGAGAGTAAGTTAGACGGTCGAACTGAACGGGCCGCTCCACACTGCTATTACGTCCGTCGTAAATCATAATCACATCTGTCCAAAACTCCAGAACTCCGCAACTGGAGCGTCCACAAACGCACATTCATTTCGAAATATGTTACCGACCCAAACGTTACCCCCAGCCCCCAGACAGCCACACAGGGTCTTGGGTCCACGCCTTTTGCCCTTTCCTTATTGTCCGTTCTTGTCTTCTTCCTCTGTAGCCCGTAGTGTCCCATTGTAGCGTTAGGGGTGTGAAAAACATAGATAATAATAAAATGACGTTCTCAAAAGAAAAATAACAAAAACAAAAATTTAAAATGAAAAGAAACTGGTACATGTTCCCGGCTTCGTCGGGACCACTGTGAACGATGTCCACTTGTCCAGCCCAGCTATTGACCCAGCACTGACATTGACCCAGGAGGCCCGACCCATCAAAAATGTCCGACACATTGCATCCCAGCCTGCACACAGTCTCGGTTTGCACGGCATATTATTCGACCACCGACAAAGCAATACACGATATCTTATTCGACAGTCATTGTGATGATCCTAAATCCACATTTGGATAAACCAGCCAACAAACCATCCCTGTTGACGCCATGTTTCTCTTTTCCCTTTTTTCACTCGTGTCTTTCCTGTTTTCCTCTTTCCTACAGGAAAATCTCAGTTTTGTCCGCTTTATAAGTGCTGATGTTGAGTATATGTCCATGCTTTCAAGTCACTGTATGACGCTGTCTTGTATTTTCCACTGTGTGGCACTGTTTGTCGACATTCCCAGACAGGTCGGCATATAAATCCCCAGTTGATACCCAAATGTCAACCCCGTGTGTCGTCTCTGGCCTCTCTCTGGTCAATTTAACTTTCCCCTTGGTCTTTTTACCCGCATCTTTCCCTTTTCGATTTCGACATCCCTTTTTTGTTTTCTCTCCGGCCAGTTTCGTTTTCTTGGAATTGGACATTCTTGTTTTTACTCCTCATCCTTATCCTTCTTTGCTGCCTCGTTTCCCTGTTTCTTTTTGATACCCAGTCCTATCCAACCATTCCACCACACCTTTCACCCTTCTCGTCCCCTGCCCCCTCTATCCCCTCCCCCCTCGCCCATCATGTCGGACAACTTGGCCGGCGACAAGCCGCAGGCAAGCACCAACATACACGGCAGGGACTCGGCCTCGTCCGGCTCGGGTAGCGCAGGCCCAGACAAGGTCGTCATCAGTGGCACCATCACCAACCGGCCGCCGCTGGTCAAGAACTTCAAGAAGCCGTCGAGCCCAGGCGCGTTGGCCAAGCTCAGCGGGCTGCGGGTGGCCTCGAAGCGGCCCTTGCCCACCGAGACAGGCAATGGCACGTACATTGTGGCAAAGACCCAGACGGGGCTGCGTGAGGACCTCAAGCACCTGACGTGGGCTAATGTGAAGACGGTGCTGGACCTCGCCAAATCCAAGAAGAAGGGCGGGCCCGTCGACGACCGCACGATGCTCATGGAGCGCGTCATCCAGCTCGTGGCGGGCCTGCCGACCCAGTCCCGCAAGCGCGAGCTGCTGACGTCCAACTTCGTCACGGAGCTGTGGGAGTCGCTGGAGCACCCGCCGGCACTGTTTGTGGGCGACAAGTTCCAGTACCGCATGGCCGACGGCAGCTACAACAACATACACAACCCGACGCTGGGCGCCGCCGGCACGACGTACGCCCGCACGGTGCACTCAACCGTCACGTCGCCCGCCGCGCTGCCGGACCCGGGCATGGTCTTTGACTCGGTCATGCGCCGCAGGGAGGGCAAGTACAAGAGCCACCCCAACAACGTGTCGAGCGTGCTGTGGTACTGGGCCACCATCATCATCCACGACCTCTTCTGGACCGACCACACCGACCCCAACAAGTCCAAGACGTCGTCCTACCTCGACCTGTCGCCGCTCTACGGCAGCAACCAGCAGATGCAGGACACCATCCGCACCTTCCGCGACGGCCGCCTGAAGCCCGACGCCTATGCGGACAAGCGCTTGCTCGGCATGCCCCCGGGTGTGTCCGTGCTGCTCATCATGTTCAACCGCTTCCACAACTATGTGGCCGAGAACCTAGCCGCCATCAACGAGGGCAACCGCTTCCCGCGCCCGGCTGGCTCGCCCGACGACGAGGGTCTCGAAGACCGCGCCAAGGCCGCCTGGGCCAAGTACGACAACGACCTGTTCCAGACGGCGCGCCTCGTGACGTCGGGCCTGTACATCAACATCACGCTTGTGGACTACGTGCGCAACATTGTCAACCTCAACCGGGCCGACACGACCTTCACGCTGGACCCCCGCCTCGACACCGAGATCAACTCGGGCACGACCCTGCAGTCGGAGCGCGGCACAGGCAACGTCGTGTCGGCCGAGTTCAACCTGTGCTACCGCTGGCACTCGTGCATCTCGGCCAAGGACGAGAAGTGGATCGAGGACTTTTACCACGACATCTTTGGCAAGCCGGCCGCCGAGGCCACCATGATGGACCTTATGGGCGGCTTTGTCAAGTTTGACCGCTCCATCCCCGACGACCCGGGCGCACGCACGTTTGGCGGCTTCACGCGCGGCGCTGACGGCCGCTTTGACGACGACGAGCTCGTCGACTGCATGAACGACGCCGTCGAGGACGTCGCCGGTGCGTTTGGCGCCAACAACGTGCCGCCCGCCATGCGCTGCGTCGAGGTCCTCGGCATGCTGCAGTCCCGCAAGTGGAACCTGGCCGGCCTCAACGAGTTCCGCAAGCACTTTGGCCTCAAGCCGTACGAGAAGTTTGAGGACATCAACCCGGATCCCGAGGTTGCCGACTCACTGCGCCACCTGTACCAGCACCCGGACTTTGTCGAACTGTATCCAGGCATCGTGGCCGAGGCCGCCAAGGACCCCTTGGTGCCCGGTGTCGGCATTGCGCCCACATACACCATCTCTCGGGTCGTGCTGTCGGATGCCGTCGTACTCGTCCGCGGCGACCGCCACTACACGGTCGACTACGGCCCGAAGCAGCTGACCAACTGGGGCCACAAGGAGGTGTCGTACGACCTCAACGTCAACCACGGCTGCGTCTTCTACAAGCTCTTCATCCGCGCCTTCCCCAACCACTACAAGCAGAACAGTGTGTACGCTCACTACCCCATGGTCGTGCCCGCCGAGAACCTCGCCATCCTCAAGAGCCTCAAGCGCGACCACCTGTTCGACTTCGCCCGCCCCACGCCCATCCCGCAGCGCATCAACATCACGTCGTACGGCGGCGCCCAGCAGGTGCTCGAGAAGCAGGATACCTTCAAGGTCACGTGGAACGAGGGCCTGGGCTTCCTCATGGGCGAGCCCGGCAACCGCTTTATGCTGTCGGGCGACACGCCGCTGCACGCCCGCCAACGCCAGTGCATGGGCGCGCTGCTGTACCACAACGCGTGGAAGGCCGACGTCAAGGCGTTTTATGCGTCGACCGTCAAGGCCCTGCTGGACGAGAAGAGCTATGTGCTCGCCGGCAAGCGCCAGGTCGACATCATCCACGACGTCGGCAACATTGTGCACACGCACTTTGCGGCGCGCGTGTTCAACCTGCCCCTCAAGACGACGGCCAACCCCAAGGGCGTCTACTCGGAGCAGGAGTTGTACATGGTGCTCGCCTTGATCTTCGTCACCATCTTCTTCGACATTGACCCCGTCAAGTCGTTCCCTCTGCGCCAGGCCACCAAGGAGGTCTGCACCCAGCTCGGCTCCCTCATCGAGAGCAACGTCAAGCTCGCTCTCGGCCTCGGTATGCGCGCCATGTTCTCGGGTCCGGCCCCCAACAAGAAGGCCCAGGACAGTCTGGCCGCCTACGGCATCAATATGACCAAGGGCCTCCACAAGTCTGGTTTGGACGCCAAAGAGATTGCCTGGAGCCAGATCCTGCCGACCGCGGGCGCCATGGTGCCCAACCAGGCCGAGGTGTTCGCCCAGGCGGTCGACTTTTTCCTGACGCCTGCCGGGTCTGTCCACATCCCCGACATCCACCGCATTGCCAACGAGCCCGAGTCGCCTGAGAACGATGCTCTGCTGCTCGGTTATGCCATGGAGGGCATTCGTCTGGCCGGAACGTTTGGCTCGTACCGCAAGGCCGCCGTCGCCGACGTGATCAAGGAGGACGACGGCCGCGAGGTACCGGTCAAGGTCGGCGACCGCGTCTTCGTCAGCTTTGTCTCGGCTGCGCGCGACCCTGTGCACTTCCCCGACCCGGACACTGTCAACCCGCGCCGCCCACTCGACAAGTACATTCACTACGGCGCCGGCCCTCACGCGTGCCTGGGCCGCGACATCAGCCAAGTCGCCATTGTCGAGCTGTTCCGCGCCCTCTTCCGCCACAAGAATGTGCGTCGCGTGCCCGGTCCGCAGGGCGAGCTCAAGAAAGTGCCGCGCCCTGGTGGCTTCTTTGTGTACATGATGGAGGACTGGAGCTCGTACTTCCCCTTCCCGACGACCATGAAGGTCATGTGGGATGAGTAGGTGCAGTGCAGGTCATGATGGTGCCGATACCCATTTTGCGCGGCTTGTTCGTATCAGGACGTGGTAATTAACAGGAGGGCAGAGGCCGGTGGAAATCGTGGTAGTTGTCCGTAAACTTGGATCTGTTTTATTTTTTGTCAGTTTTGTGTTATGTCATACCAAATTGCTGAATGAATTTGACCTATTTGAATGCTGTTTCGTCGCGCTGCGATACTTGCCTTGTTGACATTCATTGGCCCCTTTTCGTGGCTTTTAGTGGCCTGTGTCTAGTTTGTCGCATGACATAATATTTTACCCCCAGTCGCTCGCCCCAATCAAGCCCCGCATGCACCTGACCGCGCTGAGTTGACGCGACGCCAAAACCTGTGCCAAAGCGGAGAGAGACCCGCATATCGTCTACTTCGTACAACTCGCCATCAACAGCCTAGCCAACCACTGCCAGTCACCATCGGCGAAATGTGAGTTGTCGGTGTGTGTCGCGCGTTCATTTTACAAACGTATGCTAACCTCTCTCTGTCCCTTCCGCCCTCCAGGATCGAACCAGTCATCCGAGTTCGCCGTGCCATCCACGCAAACGACCAGCTCCTCGTGCGACGTATTTTGGCATCGCATCCCCATCTCCTGCACAACCCAGACACCTCCGATGCCGGCCTCTCCAACTCCAATCTTCACCTCGCCGCCTCCCTCGGCCATCTCCACATCTGCCAGCTGCTCATCGAGCGCGGCCACGAGAAGGACGGGCCCGCCCTCAACGAAAACCATGAGACGGCCCTGATGCTGGCCGCTCGTGCTGGCCATATTGAGGTCGTGCACTACTTGTGCCAGGCCGGCGCCGCCTGGATCCTCGGCGTCGATGTCCATGGCCGCGATGCCATCATGGAGGCCAGCCGTGGCGGCCACGACACCATCGTCCAGATCCTGTTGACATACATTCCCTCGGGGCCGGAAGAGGCCGTCCGCCGCGCCGACAACGAGGGCAACACCGCCCTACACTTTGCCAGCAGCAATGGTCATCTGCTCGTGCTGCGCACTCTGCTGGCCGCTGGCGCCGACGCCGACCATAAGAACATTTGGTGCTGGACGCCTGTGGCCTACAGCGCGTCCGTCCAGGCCGAGGTGTACCTCAAAAACCTCATCAACCAGACAAAGGCCGCTATGGGCCAGCCGCCAATACATGCCCCAATGCAGACGCAGGCGTCACCTCGCAAGGGTCGGCTCGGCGCCCCCGACATGTTCAAGCGCGGACAGCTGGGTGCCATGGCATCTGGGCTGCGGCTGGTCCGTGAAGATAGCCATGAGAAGGCCCGCCAACGGTGATGTCACGGTTGGGACACGGTGAGCTTTGATTGCGAAGACCATCCTTCCTCGTTCATGTGTCTCTTGTCACGATATCTTGTCTTGCGTCTCCTTTCGAGTTTGCTTTATTTTACGATGGCAAGCATACCTTGGATTTTATGATTTGGCGTCTTAGATTCTTTTTCTTGTGGCCGTTTGTCTTTTCTTGCCTCCCTTTCAGCTTCTGTGCTATTCATGTTAGCATTTCTATGTTGCATGGCCAGTTCAATATTACATCGTCTCAGCCTTCCACTACCTTGTCGCTGTCGATGTTCTTCTACACCCCGCCTGGCACAGAATATAACTCAATTTTTTGTTTTTGTTTTACCTTTTTGGCCTTTTTTGTTACTGTTTTGCACCCATGACGACAGATTGACACCTTTTCGAGTTATCCTGGACGAGTAGTCGCAGTGCTTTAGGTTCGTGCCAAGCCCTATTCATGTTTGTCATTGATGTTCCTTTATGACCCATCGCCAAAATGGTGCGCACCACTCGCACACCTTCCCGATTTGCCGTGCCCAGTTCCAACTTGTATTTTGTTTTCCATCTTCGGGGTCCGCTTCATTAACGGTCGTCTCGTTGCCATTCTCTTCGGTGCCTGGCTTTCCATTGTCCAATTCGTCCCGCACCGAGTTTGCAAAATCTATGTAACAGGTCGACACTTCACCTGTATTTGCATACATGTCCGTCAAGGTACATGCGTACTTTGGAAGCAGCCTCGTAAAAATATTTGCCACAAGTCGTGCGTTTTCCGGTTTTTCGTAATCGAGGTAGTCACAGACAGAGTTGAAGAGAGTATTCAACAGGTCCCGGTGTTTTTCCAGGGCAGACCCTTGTGCTGGATGTCTGGAACCATGTGCACGCTGAAGAACCTGTGATATGCACTTGATGTAGACAACATCGAGTAGAGCCTCCTGCATACGTGTGCGGTCATCTGACTCGGGCCCATCGTAGCTCTCCTGACTCTCACTATTTTCCACCAACGCGGCGCTCAGCTCAACCATAATGCTAACCAAAAGCTCGGCCGTCTCTGCATGGCCGTCTTCGGGGAGTATGGTGACCACGTCACCAAACGACTTTAGGACCCGGATCAGGTAGACAACCATGTCGTATGAACGCTCTTTGAGTTTCTTGTCAGTAGCGTCTATATCATCTGAGCCGATATTGCGAGGGGGTTCGTCGCTTGGGTGGATGCTCGTTTTGCTAAGGCGGAGACTTTCATTGTACAGTTCCAGGATGAGGCTCCGAATCAGATGAAGCATTTCTTTGATCTTCTTACTAGCGCTTAGAAGGATCCTGTCGCTGTTCTCGTCGTTGTTCTGGATGGTAATCTGGTTGCTGCCGGAATCCAGTACCGAGACGGACGATGGAGAGGAGCAGAAATCACCTGCCACTGTGAATTCGCTGGTATCGGACATGGTGTTGACGAACGAGGGGGGAACTGAGTCTAGTGATTTGGCTTCGTAGAGATATTTGAAATTGATGCAGGAAAAAAATACATGTTGGAAGGAAAAGTCAAAAAAGAATCAAGACCGACGGACTACCACAGATGGGTCTACACATCTACTTCCGATCATTTCACCCTCTCTGGCTACGCACTAGTCGACCACGTAACACCTTAGTTTTGCTGAATAAGAAAAAGAGAACTTGTGAGATTCATCTACAAATCCACAAATGACACTGTGATGATAAGTCGGCACCTTAACATGTTGGCGGTCATAAAGTTTCACGTAATTTGCCACGTTCTAGTACATGTGGGCAGTTGCAACTATCCGTAAGCGCGCCTGTTATTTTCCGATGCCTAATGTCGACCCAACATCGCGCGTCTCCATTACTCGCACGCCCTTTTTTCCTACTGTCCGTTTCGTCTGGGCAAAAGGGGACCAGTGGGATAAGAAAGAAAGTGTACGTCGTACTAAAAGGAGATGAAAAAAAGACGAGAAAGAAAGGTCCTGATCCGATAACTAAGGGACGAGAAAAGTCTGTGGAGGAGGTACAGTCGATACGGACGAGGCGGACGAGGCGGACATGGCATTCAGCCGTAGGAACAGAAATGGCACTGACCAGGCTGGGTCTGTTTTAATTGTTCTGCTCGGAAGAACGTACAGATGGCAAACGTCGACCTCGCATACCCCGGCACATAATTCTTTTTGCTAGTCCTTGACAACGACCATCATGAACCCGAGTTATAATGTCGTAATGTTCCGTCCGATCCCACAATAAAATCCCGGCAATAAATCTCCTATAAATGTATTTAGGCAAAACACTCCGCCCAGTACAGCACCCAGCAATCGCCCAGCAGATTCGCAGTCAATCCTCGTCATCGCTTATATGGATGCGGACGCCGAGTCGAGGTAATATCGAAAATAGATAACGTGCCGACAGACAGCCAATCCGCGTCTGGCCTACTTTGATCCATCTTGGGCTGCTATTCCTGGTTGCGTTGTATGATAGTAACGGAGTGAATGGCAAAATTTTGAGATGGACGGGTAGATAGTAAGGGAGGAAACAGGCAGAAGAGAAGAAAAAAACCTGAGAGTAAACATGGGATATTGCAGCTCATCCCGTTGAGAGGAAGAGGTTATAAAGCAGCAGTGGTCGGTTTAGCTGCCCCAAAACCCAAAGGTATCTATCGTCCAAGGCCGTCGCTACATTCTCGCTCGTCCCTCCAGACGTCTAGTCGCCACCATGAAGTTTCTTGATTCCCTTTTGGCTGCGGCCGTTCCCACCCATGCAGCCCTCCGATTCGGCTGCTCGACCCTCAGCATTCAGCGCCTCGACCCGTTGGTACAACCCGGCGCCATCCCATCGTCCCATCTGCACCAGATCGTCGGCGGCAATGCCTTCAACGCCACGATGACGGGTGACATTGGCAACCAGGCCAACTGCACGACGTGCACGTTCTCAGAAGACTTTTCCAACTACTGGACGGCGGTCATGTACTTCCGTGCGCCCAATGGCACCTTCAAGCGCGTGCCCATTATGCAGAACACGGCGCTGCCCAACGGCATCAATGGCGGCATGACGGTTTATTACACCCAAAAGGACTTTAGCAGCAATGGCGACCAAAAGATCACCGCCTTTAAGCCCGGCTTCCGCATGACAGTAGGCAGCCCGTCGACGGCGTCGCTGACCGATGCCGAGAGCCATGTCGGTCTGCGGTTTGTCTGCCTCGACGAAAAGGCCACGCGCTTCCCTGAGCTGCCGACGTTCCCGAACCGGCCCTGTGTCGGCGGCATCATGACGGTGCACCATTTCCCATCGTGCTGGGATGGCGTCCACCTCGACAGCCCCGACCACCAGTCGCACATGTACAACACGCAGGGCGAGGCCTTTAGCAATGCCGGTCCCTGCCCAGCATCGCACCCGGTGCGCATGCCACAGGTGGCCTACGAGACTCTCTGGGACACAACGGGCTTCAACCACCTGTATCCCACCGACGGCAGCAACCCCTTCTTCCTCAGTTACGGCGATGACCACGGCTACGGCACGCACGCCGACTACGTGTTTGGCTGGAAGGGCGATTCGCTGCAGCGGGCCATGGACTCGACGTGCATGTTCCAGGGCTGCGAGAACGGCAAGCCGCTGCTGTCGCAGTCGGTAGCGGAGATGAACAAATGTGCGGTGGAGAGCACTGTCCACGAAGACATTGATGGATGTGAGTTCACGACGACGTAGCGGGAAAACAACGTCAACGAGAAGGGGGGAGGAATTGAAAAAATGCTAACTCGTCTAGGGGTCACTGAATTGCCCGGCCAGTCGATGCAAATGTGAACGCGGCTCAACGGACGACAGCCTCTCGAGTCGCGACAGCAAAAGGTCCTTTGCATGTACTTCTTCGGCCATCCGGCCACAACAGCTTCTTGCTTCTCGACGGGGTGGTCGACTCTCCGCTGTCTACATTTTCGGGTAACATATCGGACGATGGATGGTACTGCGAAGACAAGCGTGTTAATATACAATATTCCAATATTTTCAAGCGTGAAGCGTGAACATGTTTTCAAGAAGAGCTTTGGTGTTCTAGACAGACAACGAATAGCGGGAAGAAATGGCGCCCAACTTCCCAACGCCAAACAAGGTACCAAAAGCCGAAGCAATAAATTTCAGAGGACTCTTGTAGCGCGCTTCGCTCTTTTTGTGTTATTATTTTTCCTTTATCATTAGTCTTTGCTTTCCGCCGTTTATTTTGGTTGCTCAACCACTTCCCGTTTTTCCTTTCTGCCTACGAAATATCACCTACTAGCCTACGACATGCAGCGGTCTATGCGACTAGTCATGACAGCAAGACATGTCAAGACGACGAGACAACTGCCTCATTGGCTCACCTTGTTTCCTTTTCGCAATCCACCTCGTTGTTATTTTTGCTCCCCCTTTTCCGCGGCGTTATCCGCCCACCACTCGGCAGCCCTTGCCGTTTCCCGTATGTCTCCACTCAGACCAAAAATATATCCGATCCTGTGTCGATTTTCTACATCGTGAACGGAAACATTCCCCTTGCTCGACTTCCACGCAACTTGAAAGTGATGGGCTTTTCTCTCTTGCCTCTCTTTGGCTATTTGATTCTTTCTGTGTGGTTTCTGTACCCCGTAAGTGTGCACTTGGCTGCCCTTCGTGGTCTATTTTCGACCTTTCCATTTATGGCGCACAATCTCACACCCACCGCATAAGTACCCATGTACCTGCAGGATACGACCTTCCGTCGCACTGGGTGTGGCCCCCTTCCGTTCTACAAGCCCGACACACCGTCACAGCCGTGCAACGGGGAGTAGCCTGCCCGATCGAGTATCTTTGTCGTCGTTGGTGTTACATCCATTGTGCTTATATACTCTTGTTTCGTCTTGCTGTGTTGCGTGACGTGGTATTCCAGGACCGGGTCTGTGGTACGCCGGTCATCTCCCGTGAAGGTTCCCAAGGGTCTCCCGAGAACTGCGTGCACGGCCCAGAGAGTCAGATTCACCTCAAAAAGAACAACAGACAACTAAAGAAAAGGCAGTCGCCCCTTTTTTCTGCTTATTGTGCACATTATCGGTGTCCCATGTTGGCTCCAGACATATTGTGTTTGATCATCCAGAGTCTGCACTCTGTCAGTAGTCCGGAGAACGGCGTATCTGCACGTACATGACCGGGGATATTGTCTTCCTTATTTGCAGACATTGATATACGACAAAAAAGGCAATACCTCCCTTCTCGGGTGCCTTGTCCGGATCAGCACGTCGTGTGCAGGGCTCGCCGCTGTCAGAATATACAACGTACAGCCACGGTCAGCGAGTCCTGCGTCGGCTTGACAAACGCTTCCAACATCGACAATCCGTTGCATTTGTCACTTACGAAACACACGAAAGTAGTAGGTCAGACACGTCGTATGAGCCACAGCCTCGGAAACCAAAAAAAAAAAAAAAAAAAAAAAAAAAAAGAAAAGAAAAAAAAAGAAGATTGGCGGCTGTTGCTGTTTCGGCTCTGCTTGGCTGCATCGTTTTGCTTCCACGTCGTCGCTGTCGCGGTCCGCCGTTTCTTCTCTGCTTCTCCCATTTCGGTAAGTGCTCTTGGAATTGGTCTGCGGTTTTGAAACGGTCTGGTACTTGTGGTGAGTGTGGCTAGTTTACAGGGACGGCGCATGCCATTTCCGCTTTTGGCTCCCGGCATGGCAAGGGTGGGAATTGTGGACAGGGGCAGGCAAAGCATAGTTGGTGTGGATGGGTGGAGAAGGTGGACGGAGCCAAAAAGCAGGTGAGAAAAAAGGAAGCAGGAAGGACAATGGAAATATGGAGTATCACAGCATGCTGCAATACCATTGACACTCGCTGAGATAAAGTGGTCTGAGTCTAAATTCGAGAGTGAACATGGGCCAAATTGTGGCCTCTTTGGCATGGTTCACGATGGAAAACGAAAACGTGGCCAGGCCTGAATTGATACAAGTTGATGCGTTTTAGACATTGATACAATCGCACTCCGAGAGGAATCGGCTCGACACGGAAAACATTCAAAAAGGCCAACGAATAAAGACCGTATTTCCGTCGTACTAAATACGATACTGTTTACCCCTGAACCATACATAGAAAACCGGGATCAGGGATATACTAACGAGTCGAGGTCCCACCGTCTGTGTGGTCTTGGAGATTTTTTTTTTCTATTTCATGGAGTCCCACTGTGGTTCGTGTCGCTCATTGCTTGTTTTTGTTGTTACTTCCGCGATTTCCTTGATCATCAGCTCGAACTCGTCGGAGCCGATTGCCATGGTTGCTGTGATCGATGTGCCACGATGCAAAGTAATACGCCTATTACTCCGTAGTGCTTCCTGGCACTCACCATTTGCACAGGATTATCGTGGATCGTCGATTGCTAATGCCCAGGACTTTTTTCTCTGTGCCCAGCATCGACGGCGATGTCGACCCCCGCAACCGAATAATTCACCAACGGACATTGGGCAGACGGTCAGATAGTCTGCAGGCAGTGGAAATAGAAAAGAAAATGCAGACAACGGCAACGACAGCAAAGCAAGACAAAGTGTGGTAGGATCCGGCAGTAGTCTTCCTGGTTCGAAGCTTGGTGTGCGTGGCTGGCCCACGTGCAGATTGGCGAGTGTTTCTGGTTCTCGTCACCCTCTGTAGTCCTGCTGGATCCGTTTTGTTGTCGAAGCACACCTTACCTTTTCCTCAGGTTGTTCTTCTTGTGGTTCTTTTGTCGTCGTGCAGTCATTTGTTCGTCGGATTCAATTGGGGCAGTTGGGGGCGAGTTGGGGGCGAGTCGGCGGGCCGTTGCATTTGGTTCGAAGCTTTGGAAGCAACTGAGACAGGGGAGACTACCAGGGTCACGGGGCATTTGGACCGTGGTGACCGCGATGCTTTTCGTCTTGACGATTGGCGACATGCGGCGAATTGGGTAAGGGTTCTGTGCGGCGTAAGATAGTGGAGCGGCCACTGCGCGGGTAATATCTACGATTATGGCAAGTGGAAGAAATGCGGCGGACCTAACAGACCGGACAAGACAGCCAAGACGGCGGAGAATGCACAGAACTTTTAAAACGAACGAATACTCTCGTATGCAATGGTGAAGCACGACAGTACGAGAACGCCGGGGCCCAGGTACCGCGGCTGGGACGGCGGAGGCATATGAGAAACGGAGCACTAGTTTAGTGAAAGAGTCGCTTTAATGAGCATCGGCAGGCCCAGTTTTACCCTGTTTGTACACATACTATGTAATTACGGAAAGGTAGACAACCAAGTCAGTCGTAGGTATAGCATTGTACACTGGCGATAGGCACTTTTGTCTAGGAGCGCCTCAACAGCGTCCCAAGATCCGCCGGAAGACAGAGACCGAACAGATAGGACAGGTTACGGACAGGACATGGAGCGATAGACTGCTCACTCAATTGGCTCTTTCTCCGTGGCGATCCCTTGCTTTTGCAGACCCCGTCGCTTTCACAAGCTCTTGACAGAGAGGGGCTGTATGTTGAGCGAGTCAAGCAAGCTAAGTCTTACAGTGGTAGGCGCTAGAAGCATGACAGTACACAATTGCATTGTTGTCCATGGTCCTTTGATCGCTTGATCACCAACTTCCCTCATATTTGGTATCCGTACCCCGGTATTGTTGTTCGCTTTACAGTCACCTCTGCCTTCAAAACCTTTCCCTCCTTTCACTCCCAGTTCACGATTCTACCCAGAAACGTACCTTTGCAAGCTGCTATCCTATTTTGCACTTTGGGCTCCACTCTTCACCGTCTTGCAGAAGTCGCGCAACGAGCCCCCTTATGGATCCCCCTACGGATCCCACTTGCCCCTACTGACAGTGGGCGGTCCACTGGAGTCCACTATTCAAGACCTTGCTCGCTGGGCGCTAGTCGACCTACTGCACTACAAATAGAGACTGAACAGGCTTTGCAGCGCGCTACAGTAGGCTGGCCAGCTCAAACGAATTTTTGCTAGGATCCGGGGAGAAAGCAGTTTGGCAGGGTCCCGCTAGCAAGGCCCATTGGCGGCCATTCGGCGCTATGCTCGGTAGCGTGCTGTGGCGTCCAGTCATGCTCGACCCTGTAAACACCGGCCACACCTCTGTGTTTCTCACTAGTCCAGCTTGGCCTTCCTGAGCCCACCCGGGCCTCCGTTTCTTCCGTTCCCTGTCCCAGTAATCCGAACGCCAGTAGCCTAGCGTTCGCCGACAGACCAGCGCCAGCGCCTGTATCTGGGGAAGACATTTTTGCGTTGCGCTATCCACTGAGTCCAGCGGTGCTTTGCTTTGTCCCCAGCCCACTTTGGAGGCTTCCTTGGGTTCCGAGTGCCATGACCTGTCTTGGCCACATCGTAGGCGGTCCCACCCCCAGACACTCTATTTGCTTGGTGGCGTTTCGGCGTTGCTTGTTTGGACGTTGAAGTTGGATGTGGGATGTTTGTCTGTTGGATGCGCTGGTGTTTTGGGCTGAGACGCACGTTTGGTTTGATCATGTGAGTGTTGCGTCGTGACAAATGTCTGTTGCCCATTCTCCCATTGTAAGTGGTTAGGTCAATTTTGCCACAGAAAGACCATCTCAATACGCCATGCACGACCCTGGCACCATTGTCTCCCCCTCGTCCTAGCGCTCGTCACTTCTGAGTTCGGGCTATGTGGACGGAGTTACGAGTACTTTTGTGAGATTACTGGGACTGACAAAAGATGTGCAGTGGATGGACATGGGGCGTAACCCGACTATGGCAGGCCCTACAAGAGCTGGAAACGGTCATCTCGGCGCTGTCCGGGATGCCCCCTTACGCTCCTAATTGACCGTTGCTGCAGAGGACGCCTGCCCCTGGGCAGTTGCGTCTTGTAATGTATATCGATGCCGTAAAACTCTCTTCGGCCAAGGGATACAACCACCGCGACACAAAACTCAGCTCCGGAGTAGATCAACCACGCTAGAAGATCCCTTCCCTTCTTGTCTCGTTTCTTTCCAAGTCCTCGCCGTACGGGTGGTCTCACAGCCGCTTCATCGGCTGGTGCGTCGATTTCCCCGAGGCGTCTTTTCTTCCTAAGAAAACTGTCTTGGCAGGAAGTATCTGTCCGCCTGTATTTCGTACTCCGTACATCTACGCCGTCCTGGCAACCGTCCTGTCGTCTTTCAGCCCATGCCATCGCCTGTTTCGCATATCCATCATCCTTGTCCTGCCTCGTCCCCTGTCCACGGCCATCCCACATTAATCCCCAAATGGAGGGCTGCTTGGAAACGAATCTGCAAGTGTGTTTGTTCCTGGCCCTGGATCCGTGTGCCTGATTTTGCGTTCAATCTGCTGGGGTGTACTGCAAGGTCCCCGAATGTGGTCCAGTGGCTCAGTGGCTTGGGTGGTCCATGAAATAGATAAACTCTGGCCTCGCCTCACTTCATTTCATCTCAACTCAATCGACCTTGTGATGGTTGTTCGCTGTGGATGGGTCCGGTTTGATCGTTCGCCAGTGCACCCTTCGACGCTCGCTCCCCACCAACCCACGCTGGTTCTTTGAACGCCAGTCGACAGTCGACCACTCGCCGTCAAGCTCGCCGTCGGCCTCGCCCGTCCATCTCAAGTCCTTTTCAACGCCGTCATCATCACCATGGCCGTCGACTACCCTACGCGGAGTTCGACCGTCGTCGTCGCCAACGCCGCCCTTATCATCATCACCGGCATCTTTTTCTTCGTTCGCCTCTGGGTTCGCCTCGTCATCTTGCACCAAGTCGGTCTCGACGATGTCTTGATTTGGGCTGCATCCCTCTTTGCGTTCAGCCTCGCCCTCACCTCGATTTTGAGTATGTCATTGAGTATCCTCTATTTTTTTTGAACCCGTGGAGTATTCAAGTATTAAGAAAACAGTGACCAAATATGGCATGGGCCTGCACATCGAGGACGTCTCTGCCTCCGACTTGGAGAGCTTCTTGATCCTCCAGTTTGTCTCGGCTGTGTCCTACGTCTGGGCCTTTGTCCTCATCAAGCTGTCCTTTGCCGTCTTCTACCTGCGCGTCATCCCGACCACCGGCTTCCGCCGCCTCAACTTTGTCATCATCGCCATCTTGGCCGCCCAGGGCGTCGAGGAGACCTTTGTCGTCTGCTTTGCCTGCCGCCCCATCTACAAGTTCTGGCGCCCGGCCGTTGAGGGCACCTGTCTGAACCTCTTGAACTTTTACTACATCTCCTTTGGCATCAAGCTGGCCACCGACCTCGTGCTCTTCCTCGAGCCCATCCCGACGCTGCTGCGCCTCAAGCTGCCGTGGGTCAAGCGCGTCGGCCTAATTGTCATGTTCTCGCTCGGCCTCCTGACTTGCGTCATCTCCATTATCCGTGCCACCTACCTCAACGACACCAGCGACGACATCACCTGGCGTCTCATTGACCCCATCGACTGGTCTACCGCTGAGGTCTGCTCACTCATCATCTGCGCCTGCGTGCCCTACGTGCGCAACCTGCTGGCCGAGATTCCGATCCTCAACGAGGCTCTCGGCCTTTCGTCCAACCACTCCAAGGCCTACCCGTCCAACTACGGCCCGCGTTCGGGCCACCAGGACAACTCCATCGCCCTGCAGAGCCAGCGCACCTACATCCAGTCGCGCAACTACAAGGGAGCGGCCGGTGGCAGTGGCGGTGTCGGCGGTGGCAGCAACAACGGCCTGGGCGGTGTCTCGACCCTGGCGTCCGCATCGGCCAATCCCTACGGCGGCGCCAACAACAGCTCCCATCAGCCACACCGCAACCGCGCCACCGAGTCAACCGAGGAGATCTTCCCCAACTACATGGACAAGCAGGGCGGCATTGTCGTGTCGACGGACGTCAAGGTCGCCGTCGAGGAGGGCTCACACCAGAGCCAGGCCCGGTCCAGCTATTCCGAGTCAAGGTGACGACCACACTTGTGCTGTGTTGTCTTCTTGCATTGCCTTGTTGTATGCTAGTCTTATTCCCCCAATGTACGTTGTCTCTTAGTGGTGTCTCTTTTTTTTTCTGTTTTTTTCCAGCCGTCTTGTCGCTTGTGCAGTTGAACTTTAAAAAAAAGCGTGGGACGTTAGAATGATTTATTACACACGAGGTAAATGTGCTACCAATTTCCTTCATGACAAAAATACCTTTTGATTCGTTTTGGATATGTATTACGGTTTGAATATTAGTTAAATAATTACTTTTGTGTAACGCTCAATTCATGACAGTAATCCAATTCCTCCCCTCTTGCCCCCCTGAGTTCATCCCACTGTCACATCTGCCCGTCTGTGCATACAATCATCCCTCACTCTTTTTTGCCTGTCGATCATTGACTCCGTTTCTTTCCTGTTATTCCAACAAACCTGGTTTCTGACAGAAGAATAAAACCTGGACTTCAGCTGGAAGTGGCCCTCCCTCTACGGGCAGGGGCGAGCATTTCAGCTGATCAAAACTCGAAGACTACCCAAACAGCCACTGCACATCACTCTCGGCCGAACTTTTTTTTTTTCCAGCACTCCCGTTTTGCTATTTTCTCCGTTTTCTCCGTTTTCCCCATTTGGTTCGCGGAGGACTGCCCGTAGCGACATGCTTGTTCTGGAAATGATCGTTGCGTCGGTGGGTAAAGGGGCGGAATCCTTGCAGCGCGTTGGGCAAATCTGTATGTTGCATGTTTGCAGAATACGGATGTACATTCGTACGGTTGGTACATTTGCGGACGCAGTTTGGACAGTCGACCCTTGCCTGCTCATTGATTTGTGTTTTATTCGACCCCTATTCAACGAACACCTTCAGCATTGGTTAGCAATCATGTAAAGTGTTACTTTGTATGTTGTATTAGGGCCCGGTTTTACTCCATATTGTTTCGATAAGCACGCACGTTGCATTGCAGCTGTTGACAAGGTTCAGTTTGAAGCGTCGCAGTCATCACAGACTTTATGCTTTTATTTGCTTTTTTACATCGTCCATCAAATGGATCACATCGTCTCACGCTGTCCAATCGATCAAATCACTGATTCTGTTGCAGTCACACCTCGCCAGTCGTGTTGACAACATGCGAAGCACACAGTACGTAAATATTCCTACGTATTACGACGTATTTGCTTTTGATGTTCACTCACCGGGGTCCCTTGCCGTGATGGCTGCGGCACCACACGTCCCAGTTGTATCACGTCTACTGTAGCACCCACAAGCGCCGAGACTGCTCACGTCGTACCCGCGATCAATTTCTCCGAGCGCCCACAACTTTGTGTGCCGTGCTACGCATGACCGCAGACGTTGCTCGTCACGTTATCATCGGCTTGTTTCCTGAGGACGCTATCCTGTCTTTCATTTTATGATGTTAAGATGCAAAAACAAGGTTGCGCAGTTGATTTTGTTGAGAAGTATATATTTCTTTTACACGTGAAATGGCACTTGTTCTTTTTTTTTTTCTATCACGTTTTTCGTTTAAAAAAATTTTTTACAAAAAATAAAATAAAATGTTATTCAGATTTGTTCATTACTTAATATGACAAAACGTAAATGATTACAAAAAAAAAAAAAAAACGTTAAACCATTCAACGTTGGAAACGGCAACACGTCACGAATCGTTTGGGCAACCACAGTCGAAGAGCTCGTTCTCTTGGAGTCGGCCGACGCGGGAATGAAGCGCGAGTTCGTTCAGCCAGTCGTAATTATCGGTACCAGCTCGTAAAGCGGGCGACATTGTCTCTGTGTCTTCCAGTCGGCCAGTCTTTTGCCGCAACATCCATGCCCGACTGAGCGCGCCTTTGGATCGCATGTTGTTGCGGATCGAAATGCGTGTTTTGCCCGAACGGTTATCCAGGCTGTGCTGTCCAACCCTGCTGAACCTGAGACGCCCACCGCCGGCACAGCAATAACAAAGCTAATAGCAGTGTTGTTGAGGCTACTTTAGGACGGTGACTAGCCTGCTTCTGCCGCATTGGTGCCGTCATTGCCACTGGCACCGAACTCATGGAGGCGCCAGCGACGACACAACTCGCCCTGCCCTCCCGACGTCCACAAACGTCACGTGTGGCACCTGGGAGTGAAGCTTGTGGACGGTGTCACCGAGCACCGGGGTACGGTGCTGACGGCTGACAAAAGATATGCAAATGTCAACGGCGGTGTGTATCGCAGTGTCGGGCAAGGATCGTCGGACGTGTTCAGGAGGGAACGGGCAACTGTGGGTGACGAATAATGTTAGAACACGAAGCAAAATTTGTTCAATTTAGCAAGCTCACTAGGATTGGCAACACCTATCCAAGTTGATTTTATCTGCATCGTGCATTGAGGATCATATAAGCTATCCTGCCAAGCAATTTTGTTTTTAAGCCAATGAGTACATAGATTATTAAAAAAAAGTATAAATTAAATATTTACTGTGGACGTAAATCAAACTGCCGAAGCTATGGTGCTATGATTCTTGATGCGATCAAGGTACCGATGGGTTCAGAGGGAACAAATGTAAACAGTAGCAAAGTTTACACTACTACCTTATACCATCACCAACTTAGGATGCTCCCCGCATCAATGTCGACCGTCTGCCTAGAACTGACAGGCTCTGTGCAAGGCCAGTTGTTCTGTCAGTGTCGAAAATAAATTGGTCGGCAATATTCTCGCCGAGTGATCCCACTTCCTGCCAGGTGATGCAGGTGGGCGTATCGGCGTCGACAGGTGCTTTCTTGTCCTGGAAAACGGCTACAAACAGATGTTTTGTGCCCTGAACTACATTGCTCGGATAGATGCGGAAGTCAAGGTTCTCCAGTTCAATATTGGCCGCAAAAGCTGTTTGGTTGCGCAAGTCAATACCGTCGACAACGAGATCTGCAACCACAAAGCCATAGCCATCGCTGGGCGACTGGATAACAGCAGTGTCGCCATTTCCAGATTGGCCGGTGTAGTTTCCGCTGTAGTACGCCGCGGCTTCCGCAGCTGCCAACGCCTCCAGGTCCAGTAAGGCCAAGGAAACAATGTCAGCATAGGCATTGAGATCAGCAGCCGTGCCACTGGTATCGTGGGACAAGATGGCGAATCCTGCACCCAAGTCTGGCGACAGTCCAAAGTAGCTCGCATAGGCTCCGGCATAACCATTCTTCGTAAAGACGTCAAGCACGGTCGAGTTTGCGTACTGGCCCGCATGGTAGATCTCCCACGGACGGCCGACGCCGTTCCGAAGATTGGATGTGTCTGCAATGGGCTGCAGCCAACGGCGTGTCGCGGATGCAGAGATGAGTTCGGACTTCATCATTGCACGACCTGCCCTGGCCAAGTCTCGCGTCGTCGAAAGAAGTGACATTCCACTGCGCGTGAGCAATTTTGTTAGAAAATAAAAAAACACATGATAATCATAAATAATGGGAAACAAAAGGGGAACTAACGCAGGCTCGCCGATGCTTGAGCTGTGAAAGTCCCCACCAAAGACTTGTGATTCAGAGGATGAGGTAAGAAGGCCGCTCCTTGTCATGTTTAGAGGCTGAAGGAAGCTTGCGGACAGGATGGCATCAAAGCTTGTGGCCTTGCACTTTGCCTTGCCGCTTCTCTCGATGGCAAATGCAAGAAGCTGGAACGCTGCGTTGGAGATAATAGGTGTTGTGTCCGGGAGCGCATATGGCGTAGAGGCACCGATCTTCGTGATGAAATCTAATTACGGTCAGCTTGTATCAAACGGTAGATAATCAGCAAGTAGAGGCGTATACTTGATTTGACATGACATACCGTGATAATTGCACTCGCTACCGAGTTGGCAGGCGTAGGCTGGACTGAGGTTAGAACGTTGTGAACCGTCTTTTATATAGGAAAAGATATGAAAAAGAAAAGAAAAAATTACAGTCACGAACAATGCCTGACATCTGGCCAGCCAAAGAACCGATAGAGACGTTATCCCAGTCCACAACGATAGAACCCGAGGACGAACTCGTCTCCAACAACTCAGGCAGAAATACCGTGATAGGCTGCTCCCAGTAACCGTCGCCCATCTGGATCAGCCAGGCATAGACGGTGAAGACTTGAGTCAATGTTCCAGTGGGAAAGATCGTGTCGAGGCCGACCGTTTTGCTGTTAGCCAAGGAAGGAACCGTATGGGAGTAGTCGAAGAAAATGAAATCTTCGTCGTCGCCAGCGTCGGCAATAGAGTAAAGTGCGAGCGAGAATGATGTCGTATTGGGAGAAATGCACCCAAAGTTATCACTGCAACCCGTTTTCACAAGGTTATCAAAAAGTCCACTGAAGGTTGCAGTTGCCTTTTGGATGGCAGAGGACGACTTGTTGATGCCTGGAACTGGGTAGTATGCACGAATGAGAGGACAGGGCTGATAAGGCAAGTCCTGTGCGGACGAAACTGCAGCTAGGCCCGCGAGGAGGGCGACAAGACTTGCTCGATGTTGCATGGTGGCGGAGATAATGTGAGCTGGGGTACCTGTGACAGTCACGAAAAGCTGTGGATGGTGGAAGGAGGATGGGGGATGGTAAACGAGAACAAAAAGTAGACACAGAAGTGGCTGCGCAACACTTATATAGAAGTAAACATGTAAATAAAAGCCCACTACCGATTGTCAATAGATTCGACAATCTGATTCCATTAACGACGACGCTTTATGAATGCAGTTCTTGGCTCACTGCCCTGTAAGTGAGTTGACCCATTTTTTCTCCGTGTCCGTATCCGCATCCGCATCCGTGTATGACCGGTCCTCATCAGCAGATGGCGATTAAGCACAGCCACAATACCACGAAGAAGCTTCTTGAGAGCCGCTGCAATCATTCGTAGAATATGAACTAACACTCCATACACTTTGTGGTACCTATCACTACTGCACCCTTGAATCTCCCCTGCAGGATGGGGCGGTGGAGTCAAGGCACCAAGCTCATCATCTCGGTGACGAACTACGGCCATGGCTCATTTATCAACGTATGGTGTCTTGGCACTGCGAATTGAATTGGCCCGACCGCAATGTATGGAAATATTGTATTTGAACTAATACCAGCGGGCACAAGGACGACGTGTTACAAACCCCGTATGTACCCATCAAATGGAGGGAATTGCCCGTCGAAGAGGATATCCAAAACCGAGTAATCAAGCGTTTGCAGCGCACCTTGGGATTCTATTGGCATATGGAAACCCGACTCTTGTAGAAGAGACGTATCTGCTGCAATAACGCTTGCCGAGTCCATTGGTTGAACAAAACTGCTTGGATTGGAAACTCCTATCGTCGTTGAAGATGACCCTTCTGATGCTGCACCCGGAGTCTGGTTTGAGACTGTCGTCCCAGAGGGCGATATCATTGGGAGATGCTGCTTGTGCCAGGTCTCAATGGCTCGTGCCCTCTTTAAGAACTGGTGAAATGTGCTTTGGTCTTTGGTTTCCGCCGTCGAATTGGCCGAAGCAGCTGGCTCCAACCGTAGGAGTATCTGGCGGAGGGAGTGTCGAATGTCAAGAAAGTGGACAAGTTGATGCGTCAGGGGCGATATTCGGGGGTCCTTGACAAGAACGTCGAGCCGGACCGCAAGAGACAATCCGCAGCTCAGTATCACCCAGGCCATGTTTGTGATGACAAACTCTTCGCCAGGTGTCATGCTCAACAGAAAACCGACCAAAGAACGTGATGCAGATACGACAGACGTCAGGCTTTCGACAAGGCGTGCGTCATATATTATGGCGTTTCCCATCTTCTTATTGCCAAAAGGGAAGCCGGGCAGAGTCATCTGGCCAAGTATAAGCTCAAGAAAACTAACTTGCAAGGACATCGTGGCTATGATGTTAAATGTCCGCCGTCACGTGATATCGAGGGGGTAGTTTACTTACAACTGTCGCTCAATGGAAATGAGAGAGATGACTTGAAAGAGTCTAATTCCTCCCGCATGGAGGCCGTTCTTGTATATCCATCATCTTGGGGAGCTGCCGGTAACTTCAAAATATCATCGGCAGCCTCTAAAAGTTCCTGCAAACGTACAATGTACTGAATATATGCATCCGACGGGTATTCTGCCAGAACAGAGAGTTTGACAGCACTCTCTAGGACAAAGGCAGTGCGTGGGAAATGTCTCAACTTCTGCATGACAATGGAGGATCTAAAACTATGTCAGTGCATGTGGCAGATTAGAATGGTATGGCCACAGCGATGATACTCACATGGACGACAAGTAATACGTGCCGATGAGAGCTCGCAGTTCTTCCGTGCTCCATTCTGTAGGAAACTCTTCTGTATCGTCCGGGGCAGGCTTTTCCACATTCCATAATGCAATGGATTTTGGCCGGTCCAACCTCAGATCAGACACGATACTTGTGGCAAGATGCAAATGCTGAGAATACTTCCGTGGCCTTGGTTGATAATGCGCCCTGGATTTGGTACATTTGTTAGTTATTCATTCAAGCAAGACCGGCGCAGAGGCTGTTCTTACCATGCCGAGTGCACCAAAAGACCTTGCAATAGGTCAAGCGACGCTATATTTCCATGTATCATTTTCTCTGCCACAGTGGCATTGAAAGACCGGCTGAGTCGGTTTTGCAAGATGCTGTTGCCGTAACTGGCTGCGGCCAAAATGGCAAGGTATAGACAAGGCCGCTGCTCCTGCAGTATCACCGGTGCCACATTTTTTGGTATGTGTACAAACGGGAAATGTGGTAGCATGCGGCTGCTGTAGAAGTGCAACAACGAGGCAGCGTTGTCGTCGCTAACATGACCTGGTGATGTAGATGCGGGCAACGAGGATATACCAACAGGCGATACAGACACACGTTGCCTACGCACTTCTAAACGATCGGGGCCATTTGTACTCCGAGTGTGCCTACCATGCGGTCTGCCGTGGCGCGCTATGGCAAATACACAGTCTTTGTGCAGGCGCAGGCACCGGTCGCATGAGCCTGAGTCCTGTGTGCGGTCACACCGGATTTTGGCGTGGAAGCATGTTTCGCAGGTTTTCAACCGTGGCGGTTCTCGAGAACCTTGTGTCGGTGGCGTCATATGTATGATGGCTATAATGTGTATTTGAGGTTAATTATGGCCCGTTGCGCGTCCCTTCGCGAACATGTTTGAGGCAGGAGTGAGATTGAAGGTACGCGGGGGAAGGAAGGAGCGAGGCGGTCAACGGTGGCAGAATACGGCTGTGCCTCTCGCCATTGACTGCAATACATTGCGAGGGACATCGTATGTAGAGAGTGTTTGGTCAATCTGGGGAAAGAAGAATAGCGAAAGAGAGGCGATAAAAAGGAAAGATGGAAAGATGAATTGTTGCCAAAGAAGACATGTTACCAACGCTGCCATTCCAGATCATGGCAAACGAGGTCGACATCACCATTGATGCGGGTACGCTGACAGAAAAGTACAGCATACGCATGTCGACGTTGGAAAAATTTATGGAGTGTGAGAATAAGCTCTGATTTCCTCCTTGGACATAACGAGTGGGGTGCCATTTCAGATGCAAACGCTGTTGAGAGGTAACTGACCAACGAAGATAAAATGCACCTGACGCTTATTATTCCTCCCCATTTGTTTTAAAGCATAATTGCAATTGCGATGCAGAATGACCACCCATTGAGGAAGGTGCGAACCATTTAGCAGAGCCGATTTCATACTTCAAATACATTGTGTAGTCAGCCAGCAAACGTGACAAGTGGGCCCACGACACGACCAGAATGCTTATCGTACTAAATCCGTCACTGCTCCCTGAATATCCCCAGAGGGCACTGCGCCCAGTGAAGCAGATGGTACATGGCATGAGGATGTGACCTCTTCGTCAAATTACTAGTTTAGTCCACAGACGAAATAGGTGACAGCAAATACACTTAGCCCGTATCTAGTCAATTCGAAGCACAAACTGACAAATCGTTAATGATATTACGTTGAGGCAAGTCCGAAACATTTCGTGGAGCTGATTTTCATATTTAGTGTGCCGTTACAGTAAACGTGACGAGACCCACAACTCGACGAGAATGTCAATGTACGTTAGCTGTTGTTCCTTCCTAAACTGCCTCCAAAGGGTACTTCACGTGGAGAGGGCGTGTCGACGACTGAGCGACGAAAATTTCTCACTTTCTTCCTTGCAAACAACATTGAATATCCCCAGCATCGCCACATCCCACGCGTCAAAATACAACGCCAACCGCACTGGCGGCATATAAAGATATGCACGGCATACGTAACAATAACAAGGCCAATATTAACCATGACATATATAGATCAGACCCCGATTTAAGCATCTATGCTATCCACAGCGAGAACCTATAATAACACACACCTCGACACCACAAGA